TTCTTTCCCATATATCCATATGCCTTTATGTTTTATATTTTATTTTGAATTTCAAAAATATTTTTGAGTAGGAAATTTATTTCATTATAGGAAAAAAAACTCAAGTAGAGGAAGGTATAAAGTAATTGACCTCCCCTCCCCCACCTTGGATACCTTGCTTCCTCTCCCCACCTCAACAGCCACTATGACTCATTTCTTCTGTGTATTTACAAGAAGGACCACTTGCGTATAAGCATGTAAGACTGTATCTCCCTTTGTTTACATGAAGATTAGCTTTTTAAAAATATATTTTTTAAGTGAGCATACAGTAAAATTGTGTGTGTGTGTGTCCAGCTCTATGAGTTTTGAAGCTGACAACCACAATGAGGATACAGAACAGTCCTATGACCCCCAAAACTCCCTCCTACCGTCCTCACGAAGCCCACTCCTTCCTCCCATCCCTAATAACCACTAATCTGTGTTTGTTGCCATACTATTCCCTTTTCCAGAATGTTATATAAATGAAATCATACAGTATATAACTTTCTGAGACGGACTTCTTTCACTCACATAATACCTTTGAGATTCATCCAAGTTGCCATGTGTATTAATAGTTCATTCTTTGGGGGCGCCTGGGTGGCTCAGTCGTTGGGCATCTGCCTTCGGCTCAGGTCATGATCCCAGAGTCCTGGGATCGAGCCCCGCATCGGGCTCCCTGCTCCGCTGGAAGCCTGCTTCTTCCTCTCCCACTCCCCCTGCTTGTGTTCCCTCTCTCGCTGTGTCTCTCTCTGTCAAATAAATAAATAAAATCTTTAAAAAAAAAAATAGTTCATTCTTTGTTCTTGCTGAGTAGTATTCTGTTGTATGCATGTACCACAGTTGGTTTATCCATTTACTTGTTGAGGGACTTTTGAATTGTTCCCAGTTTTTGGCAATGCTGGATAGAGCTAATACAAAAATTTTTTAATGGAGTTTTGTGTAAACATATGTTGGTATTTCTCTATGGTGTGAGATTGGGATTACTGGGTCATATGGTGTGCGTATTTAACTTTTAAGAAATTGTCAAACTGCTTTCTGGAGTGGCTGTACCATTTTGTATTCTCACCACCAGTGTATGAGAGTTCCAGCCACTCCATATCCTCACCAACACTTGGTAGTATCATTTGTTTGTTCTTTTTGCTTTTTTGCCTTTCTGTTAGGTGTGTAGTGATATCATCATGGTTTTAATTTGCATTCCCTAATGGCTAATGATGTTGAACATCTCTTCAAAGACTTATTGGCCATTTGTATGTCATCTTTGATGAAATACCTGTTTAAATCCTTTGCCCATTTTTTATTAGGTCATTTGAAATTTTCTTACAGTTGAGTTACATATATATTCTGGATACAAGTTCTTTGTTGGATAACTAACTTGCAAATATTTTCTCACAGTCTGGCGTATCTCTTCATTTTCTTAACAGTGTCTTTTGTAGAGAAAAAGGTTTAAATTTTGATGAAATTCAATTTACCAAATTTTTCTTTTATGGGTCACATTTTGGTATCTTATCTAAGAACTCCTTGCCTAACGCCAGATTGTAAAGGTTTTCTCTGATGTTTCCTTCTAAAGTTTTATAGTTTTAGGGGCTCCTGGGTGGCTCAGTCAGTTAAGTGGCTGCCTTCGGCTCAGGTCATGATCTCAGGGTCCTGGGATCGAGCCCCATGTCAGGCTCCCTGCTCAGCGGGGAGTCTGCTTCTCCCTCTCCCTCTTCCTGCCTTTCTGCCTGCTTGTGCTATCTCTCTGTCAAAAAAAATAAATAAAATCTTAAAAAAAAACCTTTAAGGTTTTATAGTTTTACATTTAGATCAATGACCCATTTTGAGTTAATTTTTGTTTAAGGTGTGAGGTTTAGGTCTCAAGTTTTCTTTTTTTGCAGACGGTGTCCATTTGTTTCAACGTCATTTGGTAAAAAGACCATCTTTTCTCCATTGAGTTGACTTTGCACCTTTGTACATAAATCAATTAACTGTTTTGTGTGGGTCTGTAGTTGGGACTATCTATTCTGTTCCATTGATCTCTATGTTTATCCCTTCAATATTATAGTCTTAATTACTGAAGCTGTGTAATCGTTTTTAAAATCGAACAGTGTAAGTCCTCCAACGTTACTCTTCTTTTTCAAAATTATTTTACAATCAGCTTATCTGCATCTACAAAAAAAAATCTTGATAGAATTTTGATTGAAATAGCAATCAGCAAAACTGGAATATCTGGATTAGTGATCAGCAAGGGAAAGAAACAAAAGGTGATTTAAATATTTCTTTTTTAAAAAATTGATATTTCCAGTTTCTCCATTACAAACAATGCTGTAATGAACCTTGTTTGAATGGGACAAACTTTTAGGGGTCTTAAAGGGGGATATTATGGGTGTGTCCGCATGCACGCACTCGTACGCACACGCATTGGTCCATTGGGTTATTTCTGGTACTGCCCTGATAGAATTTAGTTTCTGGAAGTTTTAGAAGCGTAGCTGTTGAGGAAAAGCCATCCAGGTGAATTCCCCCAATCCCTTTCCCACGTGGCGGTGACTGTTTTATTCCCGAGGCTCAGCCCTAGAGGGCGCCCGCTCCACTTGACTGGCGGCGGCAAACTGCAGGAGGCGCAGAAGCCCGTGTCAGGGCAGCCACGTGACTCGTGAAAAGTGGGGCCTCCGAAAGTATAAATACGTCTGTTCTCTGGCCTTAGCCACATTTTCTGTGGGTTGCAAAACAGCCTAAGAGCCCAGATTTTGGCTTCGCAGCAGCAAAGGCTGAAAGAGGGAAAGGTTGCCCAGAAAGCTTCACCCACACGTTGTACCGTGAACTTTTAAAGGATGGATACAACTCCCCATTTCCAGGCGCGGCATAGCATCCCAAACATTTTGATGCTGATTACTTGACTAGATTTAAAAAAATGTTTTTTTTTAGCTGAAGGAAAACTATGTTGTTTAATATATTAGAACCTATTTATAATACTGGGTTGGAAGAGATGTCTCTGAATTAATAACACCAGTCTTATTCTATGTGTAGTTGTTATATTTAGGTAGACAGGATTTCACATTTTCTCTGGATCTGTGTAAAAATGAACTGTATCATAATAGTGAATGTATAACTTTAAAAATGCATTTAGGGCGCCTGGGTGGCTCAGTTGGTTAAGCAACTGCCTTAGGCTCAGGTCATGATCCTGGAGTCCTGGGATCGAGTCCCGCATGGGGCTCCCTGCTCAGCAGGGAGTCTGCTTCTCCCTCTGACTCTCCCCCTTCTCATGCTCTCTCTATCTCATTCTCTCTTTCAAATAAATAAATAAAATCTTTAAAAAATAATAATAATAAAAATAAATAAAAATGCATTTAAATTGGGACACCTGACTGGCTCAGTCCCTAGAGCATGGGACTCTTGATCTGGGGGTTGTCGGTTCAAGCTCCACATTGGTGTAGAGATTACTTAAAAGAAAATCTTTAAAAATATGTATTTAAGGGGCAGCTGGGTGGCTCAGTTGGTTAAGTGACTGCCTTCCTCCAGGTCATGATCTCAGAGGTCCTGGTCTAGAGCCCCATGTGGGGCTCCCTACTCAGCTGGGGGTCTGCTTCTCCCTCTTCCTCTGCCCCTCCCCCTGCGTGTGCTCTCTCTCGCTCTCGCTCTGTCTCTCAAATAAATAAATAAATAAATAAATAAATAAATAAATAAATAAATAAAATCTTTTTAAAAAATGTATTTGAGGGGCACCTGGGTGGCTCAGTCAGTTAAGTGGCTGCCTTCGGCTCAGGTTGTGATCCCAGAGTCCTGGGATCTGGCCCTTCCAGGCACTGGGGGCTCCCTGCTCAGTGGAGAGCCTGATTTGCCTTCTCCCTCTGCCCTTCCTCCCACTTGTGCTCTCTCTCTCCCTAATAAATGAATATTTTTTAAAAAATTAAAAAAAATTTAAATCAACTCCAATAGATAAATGACTAGTTTAAGTTAAATAGAAATGTTTTATTAATGTTGAATATGTATAACTTGAAGTAGACTAAAAACTTTTGCCATTAAGAATGTGTGCATAAATATCTATTTTCAGAAATGAGGCTCCTTGAAAAAAGTTTATATGTTGCTTAAAATATAGAATAAATATAGCAATACAGCATAGTTGTTAAGAAAACAAGTTTTGCCACTTCAAAGAATTTGTACTGCAAACATAGTCATAGAAGAAATGGGTGAAATTTATGCATGAGGTGTTCGTGGTAGCTATTTATAATAATATAATGACTTTACAATAGCAAAAGATGGAAATAAACATTCAGGGTTTAGATGAAAAAATATATATGATACAGACATGAAACGGAATATTATGAAGCTGTAAAAGGAATAAAGAAGACTTCTCTATATGAGAGGCATGAGCATCCTTCCACTTGACTAGAATTTCTTCAGAATGGTGTAGAAGGGAAATTTGAGAAATCAGGCGATGCTTTCAACTACAATTTTCTTTTCTTTTTTAAAAACTTTCTCTTTTGAAATAATTATGTATTCACAGGAAGTTGCAAAGATAGTACGGAGAGGTCCTTGAACCCTTCATCTAGTTTTGCCAGTGATTATGGCTCCGGGAACTATAGTAAAACCAGGACACTGGCCTTGGTATGATGTGTTTGTATGCTATTTTATCACCTCTGTATATCGGAGTAACCACAGGAACTGTTGTGTCTCTACAAAGAGCTCCCTAGTGCTACCCTATTACACTCACACCCATCCTTCCCTACCCCTGGTAACTACTAATCAGGTCTCCTTTTCTCATTTTGAGAATTTTATATAAATGGAATCATACAGCAGGAGATCGGAGAGTTTTTTTTTTTTTTTTTCCCCACTTAGCACAATGTCCTTGAGATCCATCCAAGTTGTTGCCTGTATCAGTAGTTTGTTCTTTTTATGGTTAAATATTATTCCATGCAGTATGGGTGTACCACAGTTGGTTTAATCATTCACCTGTTGTAGGACATTTCGGCTGTTTCCAGTTTGGGGTTATTACAAATAAAGCTACTATGTACCATCATGTACAGGTTTTTGTGTGAACATAAGTTTTCATTCCTCTGGGATAAATGCCCAGGACTGCAACTGCTGGGTTGTAGAATAAGTGTATGCTTAGTTTTCTAGAAACTGCCAAATCATTTTCCACAGTGCTGTACCATTTTACATTCCCAACTACAGTTTTCTTGTTATACAAAATGTTATTGACTACTGTTAGCCCATGGCACTAGGCCAAAGGCACAGGAGAATCTGAGACACTTTCAATTTCTAGAGAAAATAAATTTAGTATCTATTAGGTGAAGAAAAGAAGAGAGGTGAAAACTAATCTCTTTGCTGGCCCATAAAATCCCATGTTTATTGTGTCAGGTTTTCAGAATGACTCTTCCTTTGCCATCAAGCTAACCTTTTTTTGGAAAGCTACAACACTTTGCACAGGCCACATGGGTATACCCCTGACCTCTGACCCCAGCTTGAATTCTGTCCCAAGGCTCCCCAGGAACCTTGGGCTTATTCTGGAATGTTCTTACCCCCAGTAACATTCCTGTAGAGACTTTAGAGAGTCATGTCAGAACCATACCCTCCCAGGGACCTCTGTACCCATATACCCTGTCCCCAGCTCCCCAGCACTAAACAGCATTAAAACTTTTGAGTGGTCTATCCACATTCACCCTACCCTTCAGGCTTTCGTTGTGAGAGTACACAGGTGAGGTCACATTCCTTTGTGTAAGGAGTCCAGGCTTCAGGGTCATGCTGCCCTTCCTGACGTCCTTGGACAAATGATAACTCTTGAGCCTGAATTTACTCACCTTTACATTTGAGATGATAAATAATAAGCAGGACCAGCCAACAGGGCCATTGGGTGTCTGCTCTAGGCTGGCTGGGGATATAGTAGTGAACAAAGAGGAAGCCCTGCCCTGAGAGAGCACGATTCAAAGAGAAAACGTAAGTACAGTGTTCAAGTATCAGTTAGGAAGGACGTTGGGTTTGAGGCTGGTGTTGAGGAGAATGACCACTATAACTTCAGTGTTTTGACAAAACCTCCGATGCAAGGCTTTCTGGCCAAGCGTCTGCGATTTCATTTTGTTGGAGCATTTGCTGTATCCCTGGGGGTTGCAGCTTTCTATAAGTTTGCTGTGGCTGAACCAAGAAAGAAGGCATATGCAGATTTCTACAGAAATTATGATTCCATGAAAGATTTTGAAGAGATGAAGGTCGGTATCTTTCAGAGTACAAAGTGATTTTGGAATGTAAAGAATTTCTTTGGGTTGGGTTCCATGGAAGTTTGTCACTGACCTGTGTTCCTGAGCTATGAAACATGAATACTGGGTTATGGAATAGTTTCTCTTGATAAAAAAAAACAAGTAATAAATACTGTGGACAGTAAAAAAAAAAAAAAATAGTACAGTGTTCAACCTGGCCTTTGGCGTGTAGTTGGCCTTTGAGAAATGTTAATTGTTTTATTATTATAGTCAAACTCAATACTTGTTTATGGACTTGAATGGAATATGAACCCAGTATTATACATTTGCTCTAGTATTTTCTTATTCATTGTAACCAGACATTAGTTATCATTAATTGTTAGGAGCTGTGCTGTTCTCATCTCATTGCTAAAGTAAAATCAAGTGCTGACCAAGGGCACTCCATTTTGTGCTTAAAACTTAGGATTATTCTGAATTTAATACCTTGAATATCAGATTCAGTAAGGGTCTCTTGCTGTGAGCACAAAACTTTGAAAAAAGAGTCTATACAAACTTGTAAAAAAAGTCCCTTACAGTGTGTTGGAAGGTTCAAATACTATTAAAAGACTCCCACAACAGTAAACAATTTTATTGTTTATAAAAGGTGACACATTTCATAAACACTTAATCAGAAATACAAGATTTACAGGGCACCTGGCTGGCTCAGTCGGTAGAGTATGCGACTCTTGATCTTGGGGTCATGAGCTCAAGCCCCACATTGGGTGCAGAGCTCACACAGACACACACCCACACACAGATACAAAATTTAGCAGAGGAAAAAAAACCCTTAGAGGAAATTAAATTTTTAAATCCATAAAAATGCCCGAAAACGTGGCAAAAACAAAAACAAAAACATGGCAGCCGGATGAATGCAAAAATACTCAAAAGAGGCTTGAATTTTAGATAAACTGTTCATAATGCAAACTGGTCAATGAGTGAACTGATCACCAGGTAAATTTATCATTAGGACATATGGCTCTGCTCAGAGTAGTCTGTTCCTAGGGCAGAGCAATATGGTGGCCATAGGCAGGTTGGATATTATCACAGGGCTAGGTGAGAGTGTCCTGGTGGCTGAGCTTAGGTTATCTCCCTGCTTCCAGGAAGTGGGAGAGGGATTTGGGACCTCTCTGACTTCCATAGGAGAAGTTGAAGCCTGTTCCCCCTGTGAGACACACAACTACAGAGGTCTCCATATACAGTTGACCCTTGAACAACATGGGGCATGAACTGCGTGTGTAGGTTCAATTTCACTTATAAGTAGACTTTTTTTCCTATAAATACAGCACAATACTATAAATCTATCTTCTCTTATGATTTTCTTAACATTTTCTGTACTTTATTGTAAGAATGCAGTGTACATATGTTATATATATATATTTATATAACATAATGTGTTGATTGACTTTATGTTACCAGTAAGGCTTCTGTCAACAGTAGGCTATTAGGAGTTAAATTATGGGGGGAGTCAAAAGTTATACTCAGATTTTCAACTGCACAGGGGCAGTGCCCCTAACCCATGCATTGCTCAAGGGTCAAGTGTAGTAACCAACAGATGTTCATTATAGTGAATGGTCAGGTAACATGATTTCTAGTCACAGTTCATTGACTATCCAGTAATGTGACTTTGCAAAAAGTTCTGTAACTGCCCCCACCTCCTCAGCTTGAGTTTATTCATGCATAAAGTGCTAGAGTGGACTTTAGATGGTCACTACAGTCCCTGTAAGCTCTAAGATTTCCTGAGATTTCACTGCTGTACGGGCTCCTCCCGTGTTTTGACCTTTCCAGGAGACTCGAGGCTAGAATGGATATAAGGAGTAGCATTTTTTTGTTGGAGGCTTAAAGACAGCCAAGACTTTGCTATAGCAAAGGTTAATGTTCTGTCTCAAAGATCTGTTTCCCCAGGCTCTCCAAATGTAAATGTTAAGGTGATGAAAATAGTGAAATCTAGGCTCTGGTTCATTCAAGTCAGAGACACTCACCCCACATGGTGCAGCCCTGGAGCCGAGGGCCTCCTCTGTGGCCTGCAGCTTCATAAACTCGGGGTTAGGCTGTCAGCACTGATTTAAAGAGATTTGGTGGTTCAATTTGCTTCTGGGAAAGAACTGACATTCATAGTGGGGCTTGGGGGGATAATAGTGAAACCAGAGCTGGCTCCCCTCCACACCCCCCGCCTTGGAGGGGCAGAATGAGTCACCTGTTTGCACAGAAGGCTGTGGTATCAAATCCACAAATTCATAGGCCTTATGCCTTCACCACTTCAAACTGGAAAGGTGTTGCAACATCTCAGCTTTAATTGCTAAACCCTAGCTGCAAACCCCAATCTCGGGACATAGTAAGAACCGGGTGGGAAAGACTGTGAATGGCGGCAGTTTTCGGCCAGGTGTGTTTATATGTTCCTCTCCTACCTCATTTGCTTCCTTGTTTGTGCTCAAACCCAGACCGGAGGCCTCTGGACAGCTGCGGCCACCATGCTGGCCAACAGATGATGGGTTCATAGGCTCGATTACAGGTTTGCCTTCTTTTCTATTCCTTGCTAGAATCTGTGGACCTTGTATCCACCCCAAAGTCCTAGGAGCAAGCAACTCTGAATTCTTCTTGCTGTAGCTCGTATGACTCTCAGTCTCCAGGTCAGGTGGACAAGGAGTAAGGCTTTCTTTCCTAGAACTCCCCTCAGTGCAGGCCTCCCCCTTTCTTAGCTGGTGTCAAACCTCTAACTGAAGTCTTCCCTGGGCATTTACTCCCCACTCCTCAGCCACACATACTGAATATCACACCGTGCTGAGGATTTAAGGAAGGCCAGGGTGAGGGACAGGGATGACTCTGGCTCTGGGTCATCAGTCACATGGTGGGCCAAGGGTGGGCCTGTCCACCTGGCCCCCGTGGCTCCAGGGTCCTCTGCTCTCTTCTCGACATTATTGGGCCCCAGGAATCTTTCTGAGGGTGTCCCCGTGGCTGGCTGCACCACCTTCCACAGGCTTCCAGACTCCAGTCAGTATTCCTAGAATCAGCTCCCTTCTTGAATAGGAGGAAGGGAGAAGGAAGATACAGGAAGAACCAACAGTGTGGATTAACACCCTCCTGCATAATCCAGGCTGCCAGCCAGCTCTCCCTTTGCTCCAGTTCTGTGTTGGTACATGAAAGATTATAGGCATTTATTTTTTCAAGAGGAATAGTAAAATGACAAAAAGTAATATTCTCTAACCTCTATTGAGTAAGTTCTGAACCCAGCATTATCTGATATAATCAGCATACTTGCCTTTTGAACTAAGTACTGTTTTTTTTTTATAAGATTTTATTTATGTATTTGACAGAGAGAGACAAAGCGAGAGAGGGAACACAAGCAGGGGGAGTGGGAGAGGGAGAAGCAGGCTTCCCGCGGAGCAGGGAGTCAGATGCGGGGCTCTATCCCAGGACCCTGGGATCATGACCTGAGCCGAAGGCAGACGCTTAACCGACTGAGCCACCCAGGCGCCCCTGAACAAAGTACTATTTTTAAAATTTATTTATTTAGAAGAGAGAGTGCGCAAGAGTGGGGAGGGGGAGGGGCAAAGGAAGAGGGAGAAGCTGAGTGGGGAGCCCCATGTGGGGCTCCATCCCAGACCCTGAGATCATGACCTGAGTCAAAGGCAGATGCTTAACCGACTGAGCCACCCAGGCGCCCCTGAACTAAGTACTATTATTATTTCCATTTTAAAGATCAGAAAACTGAGGCTCAGCGAGATAAGAAAACTGCTCAAGGTCACATGGCAAGTAGTAGGAGAGCTGGGATTTGAATCTCGGTCTTCTGACACTAGAGTCCAAATCCTTACTTCTAAGCAGTGCGTCTTAGATGCTTTTGAAAAAAAAATGTCAGACCTGTAAGTCTAGTGTGGCATTTGAAAATTCTGTTTTCATAGAGTTTGTACGATAGTCCAGTTCTTCTCTCAGTGGGACTATAAAACAGCACCCGTAGTTACTCCAGCTCAATAAATACTTGTTGGGATTGTACATCTCATGAGCAGTTTCGCATTTTCAAATACTTTTGTGTCTGGTTTGGATGTGGCAGAAAAAGTGAGAGGTTGCTGACAGCATTGTCTTATATAAAAAGTAAAAAGAACCTTTCAGGGGCCCCTGGCTGGCTCAGTTGGTAGAGCATGTTACTCCTGATCTTGGGATTGTGAGTTCGAGCCCCATGCTGGGGGTAGAGTTTACTTAAAAGAAAAAGAAAGAGAGAAAAATCCCTTCTAGTTCTGCTTAAATTTCTGTTTGTTTGCCTACTGAGACTCCTTCAACTCTTCCTTTGTTTTGACTTCCCAGCTCCCATCCACATTCACTCAGGATGGGATGCCCTGTAGGGTTTTGGAAGTCGGACCTGGCTTTTAAATCAGACCTGGCTTTTAAATCCTGGCTCGGACACTTGCTATTTGTGTGACCTGAGCTGGTCTGCATGCCTCTCTGAGTCTCCACAAAATGTCCATAAAAAGAGAGCAATAATAAAAGCCACTTCTGGGATATTGAGAGTGTACATAATTGTAGGCACTCAAATTCTAGTTCCCATCTTTGCTAATGAAATCAACCACAGCAGAGTATTCTAGTCAATTTAAACTTAAGATCCTTCTGAAAACTCTCTTAAGGATGCCATCCCTTTATTTGATTTACTTATTGTTATTTATTTTTTTTTAAAGATTTTATTTATTTGAGAGAGAGAGAGAGAGCATGAGAGGGGAGAGGGTCAGAGGGAGAAGCAGACTCTCCACTGAGTGGGGAGCCCGATGTGGGACTCAATCCTGGGACTCCAGGATCATGACCTGAGCCGAAGGTAGTCGCTTAACCAACTGAGCCACCCAGGCACCTACTTATTGTTATTTTTAAAGTAAGCTCTACACCTAACACAGGGCTTGAACTCATGACCCTGAGATCCAGAGTTAACATGCTCTACTGACTGAGCCAGGCAGGTGCCCCATTCTTTTTAGGTGGATTTAGGAATTCATGTTTACAATGCAGCTTAATGACAATGTATCAATAGGATATTTTCAGTTGCAAGGAAAATGTTCACCCAAATTGACACAAATAGTGAGAAAATGTATCCAAAGGCATGAGAGTTGATTCAGTGGCTCGCTAGTGGTGGTAAGGATGCAGGTTTTCCAGTTGTTTCTTGGCCTCTGCTCTGCTTTTGCTAGAACCATCCTCCCATCTTCTCTGCCTATCTAAACCCCCCCCCCCCCCATGTGGCCAAATCCCTCATCATCCAATCATGACTTCTCTCCCTTTTCTGAATTCTGGTTCTTAGGGGCAACGCCTGCGTGCGAGCGCATAACCATACTCTCCTGTGTGTTACTGTGTTTAAATCATCAAATTCCTTTAAAAAATATTTATGATGTAAATACAAAAAGCAGCTTGACTAGAATCTCTAAATGAACATTTATCTAGCATCTAGCACATAGAAGGCATGCAATAAAAAGTGTTAGGATAGGTGTTGCTGGCTGGCTCAGTCCGTAGAACATGTGACTTTTGGTCTCTGGGTCATGAGTTCAAGCCCCATGCTGGGTGTAGAGATTACTTTAAAAAAAAAATGTTGGAATGGTCAATAAAACACCTGAATGGTCTTAAAATTCTGAATAATATTTTTAAAAAGCTATATATTGATTAACATGCAGAGAATTTCAGGGCTCACAGAAATGATTTTCTTTATCTAGGTCACTATTTTACTGGCTTCCATCATTTACATATACCTTTACAATTTCTGTGTTATCTGTTTACTATCTGTGTTATTACTAATACGGTTCCTTAAATTGATTAGTTTTTAAATCTGTTCTAGATCTAAGGAATGGTGTCTCTGACACCAGTGGTTTGATGTGCTAGTTATTTTCATATATCTTAGAAAACATACACAATTAAGGTATCAGATAGTTGTCTGTGTGCTGCCTGAAGTTATTTCATGGGGCACACTTGGGAAACACTAATCTTGCCATATTTACATCTATATATTTTAGGATTAAAAAAAAACAGTCAAAAACTACTCTGGTATGTTTACTATTGCATTCTTCTCCTTAGATGAACATTTAAGAAAGGCAAAACTAGAGACAGGAGGCAGATCAGTGGTTGCCTGGGGCTCGGGACCGAAGTGGGACTGACCTTGAACAGGAAACAGGGAAGTTTTGGGAATGCTGGAAGAATTCTGAGACTGGATGGTGGTAATGGTTGTACATCTGTATGAATAGAAACAAATCCATCAACCTGTATATTTCAAATGGATACATCCTATGGTTTGTAAATTATATCTCAAAGAAGGAGGAGGAGGAGGAAAAAAAAAAAAGAAATGATCAACCAGGAGGGGACCTGAGGGGGGGCTTCTGGAGTCCTGGTGATGTTTTGTTTCTTGGTTTGGGTGTTGGTCACAAGTGTATGTTCGCTTTGTGAAAATTATTCAAGCCATTCATTTATGCTTTGTGTACATTCCTATATGAACATTATACCCCAGTAACAAAATTTACTAAAAAGAGAGAGAGAAAAGAAAAAAAAAAATCAGCCAAGATTGGGGGGGGCACCATAACTTCCCAATAAAGAGTTACTTTCCTGTTTATTATTTTGTATAATGACATCATCCTGCCAACGTAGTTTTATGATGTGAGGGGGTTTAGGTTTTATGTGTCTTAGGACAGAGAAAAGGTTATAAAAAGATATTTAGCTAATCGCACAAGTGCTATAAGAATGTCAGCGGAAGCTCTTGTTTCTTAATTATTCATAGCAATTATCAATGTGGACAATATTCAACTTGCAACCAAAATAAATGGATGTTTGAAGAGGCCTTAGTGGAACAATCAAATCATCAGTCTCAAAATGTCCCCTCTCTCAGCCTGGTCCTGCCGCCTGCCAGAGTTTCAATTCTATATATATCTTTCCAGATCAGCAGTATAGCAATTAGTTATTATAATAGGAGCTACCAATTTATTGTGTGCCGACTTCACACCAGGCACTGCGTTATCAGATCTTTTCATCCTTTAATTTCATTGTCTCAACAACCATGCCAAGAAGTTGTCTTATACCATTCTACAGTTGAGGAAACTGAGGCTGGGGGCTCCTGAGTGGGTCCAAGCCCACGCTGCTGGGGAGTGACAGCCGGAGAGCAAGCTGGGGTCCCACCCCATGTGCTTTGCTAGGTCTCGGGACCTGACGTCAGTGACAGGAGATGAGTGACATGTGTAACAGAATTCTGAAGCCCGAATCATGGCTCTTCACGTGGTTACTATAGTTACTTCTCTACACGATGCTCACATTTTTGCTGGGATAACAATGAACCCACTGTTAGCCATTGAGGTGTTTGAACCCTTACCTACCTCACGAAACCCGAGGGACATTTTAATAGGTTTAAAATAGCTTTCCTGCCTTTTAATCAGACCTTTTATTTCAGAAGCTCCTGGAACGTTAACAGATCCCATACTATGGCAGCTCTACCAATATTGTTTTTTGCACCTTGTGTAAAACGTAGGAGCTCTCTAAAGGTAACACAGCCCTATTTCAGACAGAGACCCAAAAAAACTCCTTGACAAAAGTGATGCAATTGGATGAGTGGGGGGGGTGCATGGATGCCCCCTCACTAGGTTGAGGGTGGGGGTGGGCATGCGGGCAGCAAGATGTATGGCAAGAGGGGCCTTGGATATGGTAGGAAGGAGAGGCTGTAAGACCTGGAGGGACCCAGCCTGGGAGGGCCAGCAGAAGAGGCAGGAGCTGTGCTTTGCAAGTGGGTAGGCTCTTGCTCAACTAACAAACATATGCAAGGAAGTGGTTTGGATTAGGAATGAGGTGGGAAGACAACCAAGGCCTGAAATGTGTTACTGACAGGCGTTTAGAGCACTGAGCTGTCAGGGAGGATAACTCAGAATCTGGGGTTGCCTGCTGCCCAAGCGATGGTCAGGCAGCTTTATTCCCTCTGGACTCTCAAGGCCCATGACATTCTCAGAGGGGGCACGCTGAGACACCCATGGGACTGAAGCCAGAAGCCAGAGCTTCTGATTCCTGGTCTAATGGCAGATCCATTCTCTCTAATTACAGAGTCATAATGGTGAAGAGGATGGTGACATCCAAGGACAACCACAGGGCCTCTGTCTCAACCCCGGTGAGAACCAGATTCCTCCCCGCTGGTTCTGTAGCTCCCAGCAGAGTTCTGGAAGCTGATTAAAGAGAAGATCAGAAATAACAGGTAATTAGGAAACTTATAAAAAGGAAAAACGCTCTCATCAAACTTGCCAAAGCATCTCCATGGCTGGCAGTGGGGGAGGCATTGGAAAGTACTGGCTGCAAGGCTCACTTGTGCCGAAGGGCTGGCCTAGAGCCTGGGGCACGTGTGCAGAGAGACTGGGGCTGGTCCCCAGGGGTGGAGTGGGGAGGTAGTTTGGAAATGTATTTCTCAGTTGGGGCAGCCAGTGAGACAAAGGCTAAGGAATGTCTTTCAGCAGCCCCAGGAGAACCTCAGCCGGTGAAACCAGAGGTACAAGGACCAAAGGGGACCAAGGGCAAGAAAGGGAGAGACACATACACAGAAGAGAAGGAGCCCACCAGCAAGACAGGTGGATGGAGTGGACTTCTCCCCTGGCCAATTCCTTGGCTATTCAGAATTCTCCAGGAGGGGTAGTTGGAAAGAGCTCAGGAATGTTTTGGGTCCAGATAATCTTTGCAATTGGTTGCTATAGGGTCCCTTACCTCCTGGGATCCCTAGGGACTGTCCTCAGCTTGGGAGCCGTGTGGGAGGTCATTGGAATGCCACACGTGGGCTGAGTGTAGGTTTAGCCCCCAGGTGGTCTGGCTAGACTTCAGTAGCTCTCTGAGCAGTGGAGCAGCACCCCACAACCTTTGGGGGCACCTCCCCACCCAGGGGATCCTCACAGCATCTTCTAATTTAAAGTTGAGGCATACACTCCCCCCTACTCCCCCCTTTATTGTACCCTATAGGCCCTCCCATTTGAATGCTCAGGAGACTGTTTTGGAAAAACCCCTGAAGGGACAGACTTTCTTTTTTGCATTTCTGCTCCACCAATCCTAAGGCTCCCTGAAGCTGGGGGTGGGTGGGTAGGGGCTCTAAGTGACAGAGACAGGGCAGGGGATAGAGGTGGGGTGGAAAAAGGAGCTCCTCTCTGCAGTCATCATCTGAGAGATCCATCCTGTGTTTTGGGCTGAGTTTCATTTGCTTGTTCCTTCTACCATCTTGTTTACTTTCATCTCTTCTGTGCTCTTTCATTTCTCCACTCAGTAAACCTTACTGACCATTTCCTGTGGCCAGGGTTGTCCCAGATGAAAACTCACTTTGAAGACTGAGACACCGTCTTCTCTGTCACGGAGGTCACATTCTAGGTCAGTTTCGAAACAGAGTGAGCTTTATGCTCAGTGGGGGCAGGCAGGGGTGTGGTTTGGGAGCCCAGGTGTTGAGGGGTGAGTGGACCTAAGTGGATAGGGATAGAGATCAGGGAAATCTCCCAAAGGAGGAGGGAACTCATGCTGGTTCCTGCTCGGAGTTGTCAGATGAAATACAGGAAGGACCCTTGTATTTAATGCAATATTTATGACATAATTTTCCTGAAGCAATTATTTGTTATTTATCTGAGATGCAGAGTTAACTGGGCATGGTGTATTTTCATTTGCTAAATCTGGCAAGCCTAGTTTCCTGATGAAGATATAGGAGTTAGCGGAATAAATAGAGGGACAGGACGCCAGAGCATTCCTGCAGAGGGAACAGCATGTGCAAAGACTTGGAGGTGAGGGATCCCATGCTTCACTGGAGGAACTGAACATTGTCTAGGGGCCAGAATATGGAGTGCAAGCGGGGAGGGAGGGAGTGGAGAGAATGCACCAAACTGGCACATAGTTGTTGAGTAGGTACTAAGTGCCAGGCACACTGTGCTCACACAGGGTGCTCTTCTAAGACAGATGGACACAGCCTCTGCTCTCAGGGAGCTCACGGTTCAGCTGAGAGGCAGAGAGGTGGTGAGAGAGGTGGACACTGTGGAAGTTACAGCTGGGCAACATCAGCTTGGCTGGGAGGTCAGGAGATGATGATACACTGAAGGATGAGGAGACAGGCATGCTGAGGGCTGGGGGAAGAATGTTCTAGACTAAGGGAATAGCATAATGGAGCGTGTAAAGTAAAAAAATCCACAGTGGGTCCTGGATAGTGAAATGTGGCCAGAGGGGCGGGGGCCCTGAGGAGAAGAGGGGCAGAGGAAGAGTCTGGAGAAGTGAGCAGGGGTCAGATCACATGGGAGGGAATTTAGGCTCAATCCTGAAAGCAATGGGAAACACTGAAGGAGTTTAAAGCAGGCAGGGTGACACGACCAGCTTTGTGTTCTTAAAGGTGACTCATGCCGGAGAGAAGAGGACGGGTGGGTAGTGTGAGGGCAGAGAGAATGAGGGTGGTGAGGGATGGGGCCCCTGCAGATGTGCGGGGCAGACAAGTCAGTGGCTTGGAGAGGAAGAGAGAGAAGGAGAGATGGGTCCAGGCTGCACTGAGACGGAAGACTTGGCAGGGCTGGGTTACCCGGCACTGGGAAGTGAGGGGGCGGGAGGAGCAGGCGTGACTCAAAGCTTCTGGTTTGGACAGATGGGAGGACGGTGGCACCACTTGCTGAGCTGAGCTGGGGACTTGAGAGGTTTGGGGGTGGCAGATTGACAGGGTTCAGGTTTGCACGTGGAGAAGGTGAAGAAGCTGGTGGTGGGCCATCGGAGGAGGGTGTACAGGAGGAGAGACCCAGGGGTGCCCAGCAGAGTCGCGTTCAAAGCTCTCCTCTCACACTTGGCTGTGTGGCCTTGGTCAAGGACTTTACCTCTCCTTGCCTTAGTTTTCTCATATGTACCCTGGGATGATGTGGGCAGTCTGTCCTCAGAGTTGAAAGGGTGTGGTGAGCAGCCTCCAAGATACCCCAGTGATCCCGTCCTCCTGGGACCCACGTGCTTGTGTGGTGCCCTCCCACACTGTAATAGGGTCAGTTTGTGAGACCAAGGGACTACATGTATGTCACTTTGAAGGCTACGTTATAAAAAACATTGTGGCTTCTCGGGGTGCCTGGGTGGCTCAGTGGATTAAGCATCTGCCTTCGGCTCAGGTCATGATCTCAGGGTCCTGGGATTGAGTCCCATGTCAGGCTCCTTGCTCAGCAGGGAGCCTGCTTCTCCCTCTCTCTCAGCCCCTCCCCCTGCTTGTGCTCTCTCTCTCAAATAAATAAAATCTTAAAAAAAAAAAAGACATCGTGGCTTCTGTCTTCTTTCTTAGATCACTGGCGCTGGGGGACACCCCAGCTGCCATGTTGTCGGAGAAGCTCAGGTGAAGAGAAACCACTGCTTCTTGCTAAAAACTACCCGAGTGATCTTGGAAGTGGCTTCTCCAGCCACAGCCCAGCCTTCCGTGGACTGCAGCTCCAGCTGACATCTAGACTGTAAGATCTGCTCTCTACCCAATCTGCTTCTAAATTCTTGACCCATAGAAACTGTAAGGTAAGAAATGTTTATGTTTTGAGCCCCTACATTTGGGGATGGTTTATTATGTGGCAATAGAGAACTGGTCCAGAGGGCACAAACACTTAGCACAGTGCCTGGCACAGAATATGCAGCATCTGTGGGTCGAGTTCAGGAGAGAGGCTTGGGCTGGAGGTATGGATCTGGGAATCTTTTGGCTTAGAGACAATAATGGAATCCGTGGAGGTGGCTGAGCCAGTCCACAGAGATGGGTAGACAGGAGAGGATGGTCTTGGCCAGAAACCTGGACAGAAGGGGTGGGTAGAGCAAGAAGAGGCGCATCTCCAGGAGTCTGAGGGGAGGGGCTGCAGAGGAAGCAGGGAAACTAGGACAGGGCCCAGGAAGAGGCTGTGTCCTGGAGGGTGTGGTCAACAGCATCCCTACAGGGAGGCCTGAGTGCGGGGGGTCTAAGGAGGTTCTTTTGGATTCAGCAACAAAGATTCCTGGTGGCCCCACAAGAGCTATTTAGGTGGAGAGATTGAGGCCAGATTGAATATTGTGGGTTGGGGTGTCAGTATAAACACTTTCCACCCCCAACTCCCAAACCAAGATGGTTTGCAGGAGAATCCTATAGAAAATCTAAACTACAGAAAATCGCACTCTTATATAAGCTGTATAGTGAACAGACACCCATTCCTTAATTGATTTTATGAGCTCATGTAGCTTTGATAGCAAAACCAGACAAGGAGAGAAGAGGGGAGGAAATTAGCAGGCACATCTCATCGTAGATATGGATGCAAAAACCCTAAATGAAATATTGGCAAATGCAATCCAGCACTATATCGAAAAAAGTAACACATCATCAAAGGTGTGTTTATTCCATGAATGCATGGACGGTTTAATATAATAAAATCCACCGATGGATAAGGGGGAAAAAAAATCTCACGTCGATAAAATTCAGCAGCCATTCCTAATAAAGCAGAATAGGGCTTCCTTACCCTCATAAAAGGTATCTATCAAAAATCTACGACAAACACTATTTTTAAGGGTAACATATTCGAAACAGTCAAGAACAAGATAGAAATGCCCACTGTCATCACTGCTATTCCACATTGTGCTGAAGATTTTAGTTCAGTAAAACAAGGAACAGGAAATAAAGGCTGGACAGGGAGATACTAAATGTAATTACTTGCAGACTCTATGATTATTTAACAGAAAATTCAAGAGAGGCTATAAACTTATTGGAACTAAAAAAGAGTCCAAGTTTGCTGGATACAAGGTTATTATCCACATTTCAGTAATCATCAATATATTGTAAAATGCATATTTGAAAATATAATTTATAATAGCAATAAATATTTCAAGAGATATATAGGAATAGTTCTGAGAAAACAACTGACAAAATTAATTCCTCTGTTTTTGGTTGAGGAAAAGGGAAATAACTCTTTGAAGGACACCAGCAAGCCAGGGGGCAGTGCTGAATTTTCAGTGGCATCAAATCCTGAAGATCTGAGTATTGGGTAATTCTGGTAGTGTTTTTCTTTTGTAAAAACTAAAACTCATTAGATTTTCTGATTGTAAATTCAATATCTATGCATTCTAGAAAATACAGAAAATTCAGAAGTACGTTAAGAATAAACCACTAACATTCCCATCCTATTACCTAGAGAACTGTGACCAATGACTTGACATATTTTCTTCAAAATTTTTGTCTATGTATATTTGTGTGTGGTTTTTTTTAAAGATTTTATTTTATTTATTTGAGAGAGAGAGAGCACAAGAGGGGTAGGGTCAGAGGGAGAAGCAGACTCCCCGCTGAGCAGGGACCCCCCCCCCCCCCCCGATGTAGGACTCGATTCCGGGACTCCGGGATCATGACCCGAGCGGAAGGCAGTCGCTCAACCAACTGAGCCACCCAGGCTCCCTGTATATTTGTGTTTTTTAAACATAAGATTAGAATTATACCACGTATACCATTTTGTGCATGGCTTATTTTCACACACATTTCCCTGTAGCCTCATCTAGTCCTTTCGAATATGATAATACAGCACTCAATCATGTTGATGAAGCATATGCCATTCATTCAACCTATCGATTTGAGTTTTCAGAGAAAAACCAAATTATCAGATTTGACTGTGATGATCATGCGGATAAAAGTTAAACCCCAGAGCCAACTCAGGCACATGCAGACATGAAAAACAGGTGAGTTCCTAAGGCCAGGGGTTATCCTGGTGGAGAGGGGAAAGGACAAAACCAACATCATTTACCTGGTCCCGCCTGAAAGAGGACAGAGATCTGGTGAGCAGGAAGCAGGAAGAGAATGGGATTTGGAAGGACTCTATGCTTGCCGACCAGTTAGCTCTGAGACTTTAGGTAATTCCCTAGGCTCTGCAGCTTTGGCTTCCGTAGTGGTAGACTGAGGACGATACCGGCGCCAGGCTCACCTGGGGCCAGCTTCTTCGGGCCTCAGGGCCTTTGCACGGGTCATTTTCTCTGCGGAAGTCAGTTCTCCCCTTCTCTCCACCTGGCTGCCCATGTCGACCCTTTGGGCCTGACTGCCCTTCCCTCCCCTGCCCACCGGGCCGGACGGGTGGCCTTATCAGAGGGTGGCTTCCCCTCAAGGAGGGCAAGGCCAGAAGGTGTTCTGGCCACAGGCCGGGTGTCCAGGTCTTCTTGGCCACCACCGCGTGTGGCCCCTCCCCTTATTCCCCGATTCCTCCAGCCCTGTACTTAGAATCCCAGGCGGCGATTCTTAGGACTTAGAATCACAACTTGTCATTATTTTGCAGTTTCCTTGGGTCTTGTCTCTTTTCTCCTCTCATTAGGCCCCCTTTCCGTCTTGGTAGCCGCTGTACACGGTCGGGGCCCTGTACGTGTTGGTGAAACAAGAGAAACAGCTGTGAGGACCCGAGTCCGAGGACGCAGGGAAAACTGCCAGGGGCTGGGTGGATTCCAAACTGCGGTCGGGGGCGGAGCCTCGGGGGCGGGCCTTCGGGACTGCGGCGGAGCCCGCCTGACCGCTCGGCCCAGGCTGCGCCCCGCTGAGCTCCTCCGGCCTCTTGGCCCTCTGGCCTCCCGCCCGCGCCGCCGCTAGGGGGCGCCCGCGCTCGTGGCGCCGCGGCTCCGCTGGGAAGGCGCCGCCCGCGGCGGGCGGCAGGAGCCGCAACTCCGGGCGCGGGCTCAGTCGTCCGCTCTGCCGCCGCCGCCGCCGCCGCTGGGCGCAGGCTCGCTCGTCCTCGCGCTCCCGCTCTCCGGCCGCCGGCGTCTCCCGGCCGGGCCGCCGCCGCCGCCGCCGCCGCCGCCGCGCAGTGAGTGGGGGCGGGCCCAGGGCTTGGGGGCCTGGGGCTCGGGAGGGCCAGGCACAAGGAGAAGCCCGCGCGGAGCGGCCGGGGCAGCGGGGTTAGGGAGAATCCGGGCGGTGGTGGGCCGCGCTGGGGGGACCGTGGGGAGCCGGCGCGGCGCGCTCCGGGGCAGGCACGAGCCGAGCGGCCGGGCTGGGGCGGTCCCGGGGCCCGCCCCGCGGGGACGTGCGGCTTCGGCGGACCCGGGCTCGCGACGCCGGGGCGCACCCCGCCCGGGCCCGGAGCATCTCGTGTCCCACGCCGAGCCGGGTGGGGTGGGTGGGGAGACTGTGGCTACAGGGCAGCAGCGAGGCACGGCCCGGACGGGGACACCTCGAGTTTTGCTCAAAAATGATTGTTTTAGGGGGTGGCGCTTATTAGCCACCGTCTGCCCTAATTTAAGGCTGTGACAGGGCTTCTGAGCTCTGCCTTAGGGCATTTTCTGCCCTCAGAGACACACTGTGAGTGCAGCTGAGTTCTTTATGCTCAGATTTGTGTATCTTGGCATTTTTAATGGTTGATGTCGGAGGTGATAAATGACCGTGGTAGTGGGGAGCCCCCGAAGCACCTGCTGGGCTGACAGTTGTGGAGGTTGTGTCTGAGGGTGGGACGGGAGAAACGAAACGCAGCCTCTTTGGATATTCTGCTGAAGTTATCATGTTTAAGTATAGCTGCTCTGGAGCAAGTTGATAAACCCAATTTTAGGACTTGGCGACAGAAGAGGTTTGAGTGGCAAGCCGACCCGGGGTGACCTGGTTTGGCCAGGAATGTTTGGGGTAGCCCAGGTTATCTCTTACCATTTCTCTTTGGCATATTTATTTTCTTCCGTCGCAAATGTCCAAGTGCGAGCTCAGAATAGGAGAAAAGCTAGAGGACAGCATTTAGTACAGGCCCGAGCCCAAGACTGATGTTTTCAAATAAACAAATGTGTGGCTAGGAAAAGGAAAAATCTTCTTATCTGCAGGGTTGGTAGTTTGAGAGAACTTGGTCTGTGGTTGAGAACTATCAGTCCTTACTAATATTTCATTTTATGTAATACTGTAGATATTAAGGATTGAGTGATGAGGACTGCCATAGATGCTCATTCCTAAGATTTGTATGATTGAAATTTTCATAAATCATATTTTACCCAAAGCATTCCTACATAAAGGAATCCTAGGGTGAATCCTTCTATGGATCCCTCAGTGTGTCTTGAATTTTGATATTTAGAGTCTATTTAAAACGGAACACACGTATTTATTTGGGTTTTGCTTTACCTTAGAGATAATCCTGAGTCATGCTTTAGAGAAGTTCCTTCTGTGATCAAGAGCTCAGATGTCTGGTGGTCTCTATACAAGCTGGCTGCTCCCCTTTACCTGTAATTCTGCCTTGTGGAGGTCTGGAGAAAGGAGGGCCTGGGGAGATTGGAAGCAAATTAAGAGGCTTTTCTTCCATATTTGTCTTGTTTCCATGCCAGGGTTCTAAATTACTTGTGTTCACACTTTCAAGTTTCTCAATTTACCACAGAAATTTTGTTTATGCTACTGCCAATAGTATTTTCACGTTTGTTTAATACTTGCCAGTTTATAAATGCTTTTCTATTCATGATCTTGTTTATTTTTTCCTTTTCTGCAAAGAAGCTGGGCTTAAAGAGAGATTTCCTCAGGGTCTCATAATTAGTAAAAGAACGGAAGGGGGATACAGATCCTCACGAGTAACCAGTTCTCTTTTCCTCTGCACTGGCCTGCATGTGACTTCAGAACCCTAGTCCCGATCTGTTGTTACCCTGTAGGTTGGTTGTTGCCTTTGTGTTATGCCTAAATGGTATCATTATTTTGGGGAAGGTGGTATTATCCTATTTTATTTTGTAGAAACTGAGGGTAAGAGGAATCTTCTGATTTTGCGACTATTTGTGACAGCTCTTTAGCATTAAGGTCATTTTTTCAATCTAGACCTCCTTTCCTCTAGACTACATGGAGAGAGGAGAGAGAAAAAAATAATTTTAGTGAAAAACAATCTATTTCTGCGTTGGTATGGTTAAGGATACCCTAACACCATAATCGTGTTCTCCTTGTGTGCCTGGCTACTAGTGTCAGCCTATATGTGAATGTTAACCCAAAAGGTCCCTTTAGATGTCGCTGAACTAGTTACTATAAAAAGTATTTCATTTTCAAACTCCCATGTTTCAAGAACTGAGGAATTCCGTACAATAGGTCATTTTGAAGGTATGTATAGATGGAATTTATTGAGTCTTCTTTTCTGAATGCCAGACACAAAGATTTCAGGAGAACGGCATTTTACAAGGGCTACCTGGAAACTTTGGGAAGGCAATAGTTACAGGTTTTTACTATTTATCCGAGTTTGGAGGTGTGTATTCTGATGGATAAGCTGTTACATAGGAGTAGGACTTTTGCCTGGGAGAATGCTTAGTTTTAGTCTGTAGCAGAAATGGCAAATCCAGAATATTTATGTAGAATTAGCTGATCATAACCAAAAGCTTGATTGTAGCTCTGCAGTGATGAGAATGGCCCCGGGTTCTTAGGTTATTCTTTAAGTTATTAACTTGTTGGGTTGTGCATTTTTCAGATTTGCCACTTTAGAAAATTGTTAGCAATTTCTTTTAAGGCTTTTACAAATTCTTTAGTATGGGTTTTCCTTAGCTTAATTATCTGCTAACATTACACTGTCAGAATTTACACATTAGTCATAATTAAACCTTTGAAGCTTAAGTGTGGGTGAATCTTCAGTACTGCTTTATATTCTTTGGGAATGGTCAGCCACTTGTTTCCACAAGAATTTTATTTGCACCAAAGGTCAGATATTTTCAGGTAGGACTGATTTTCAAGGGCTGGAAGCCTTTCTTTGAACTTTATAATTGTTTGTGCTTGGTTGCATTCACTGCTGTTTAAAATGATCTTTAGTAAGGAGAGTCACTTTAAAGAAAAAAGTTTTTCACGTTACCCTCATAATCTCTATTCCTGGCAAATTTTCTGGGATATTAGATTTTTCTTTGTCTTCATCAAGTAAAACAGACCCATTTGATGCCCATTTTAAGATCTTCCTTCTGCTGCCTATCTTGTGGTCATTTAACTTCTCATTAAGCCCTCCACTAGAGACTGTTCCAGAAGAGAGAGAAGATGAAAAGCAAATGAATCATTTTCTAATTGTTAGCAGCTCTGAAAAATGATTTAGTAGGAGAGATTGACACTATCCCAGAAATTCTTTTGGATTATGTTTTATTTCATTCATCTGTATTGTCTCTGAGATGTTCCTAATAGTCATCAATTTAGAGGCTGATTATCCAGCTATTGGATGGCCAGGAATCTAACTGCTTTTTTGTTTCTTGCTGTATCTAAGCATTAAGCATCTCCACAGAGGATGTTTAGAAGTAAGGAGTAGGGATAAAATTTAAACTGATCAATACTATTTTTTCCGCCTTAGAGCTCCTTAGTGAACAATTTGATTTTTTTTTGGACAGTTTAGTCATTGTTATTGGAAGTGACCGACTAATCGTAACTTCATTTTATTATTAATATCTGTATCTTCTACACAAATGTAGGGAGGCTTTTGGGTGCTTTTTAAGAAACATGGGCTCATATAGATTCCCATAATTGCTTTCTTGAATTATTAAGCTTGAGGTTTCTTTACATCTTTGTATCTGAACAGAACCTGGGCTTTTGCTGTGGAACAGATTCAAAGGCATCATCTAATTTTCTTTTTATGATTGTTCAAGAAGTTAGTTTGTTTTGGTTTAGCAGTAAAAAAGGGGTAAAAAGGATTAATAGTGGACAGACCTTGCGTAACAGCTGTAACATTGATGATGTTTGGTTTTTTCCTTTGTCTTTGGTCTCCCATTTCTCATTTAATCATTCGGATGTTCATGGATTGGAGTTCTTCACTTAAGACAGAGGACACCAGCCTTCAGTCACCCTAGTGAGTAGGGAGGGTCTTGCTATTTTGCCTCAGGGGAATTTTTACAAACCCATTGTGACTGTTCACTTAGACTGAGTTACTATTAAATTTGTAAATAAAATCCACCTGATGGGGGGTCTCAAGTCAATCCTTTCAGTTTCTTATTTCTTGGATTCTGTTCTTTGAGTTTCCACCCAAAGAGGGGATTTATAGAAAGATCTAGACTAGGAGTCAGAAAATCCAAGTTCTTAATCAGTCACTTTCTAGCTGTAGGAACTTGAGCAAGTCGTTTAATCTGCTGTTTCTCTATTTTGTATCTCTGAAATGGGGACAGTAATTCATGCATTGCTTATTGTATCAGGAATATTGTGGGAGAAAAAGGCCCATCTTTTTTTATTTAAATTGTTTCTTCATTTTGGAATCCCTCCTCTCAGGTTGTCCAAATATTCCTGCAGAGTTCTCCTGAGCGAGCTTTTTCTTCCCAAAGGCCTCTGCTAGTCCATGCATTATGTAGCACTATTCTGTACAGTTGTTGCATGTTGCCTTTCTTCACAGATAGAAAGCTCCATGAGGGCAAGGATTGTATCTTTCCTATTTCTGTGTCTCCACATTGCACATCGCACCCGCCACACACACCAAGTTGACGTATAATAAATGTTGGTTGAATTATTTTTGAGGCTGTCAGGAATGAAAACTTTGGGTGATAGGAAGATGCCAAAGATGAGCCTAGTATCAGAACTTTTGGATGACTGGCCTTTTAAATCAGTCAGTTATTTGTCTGTCTGTTATCAGTAACTGAATCAGATGCTCATAATATAAATTGGTAAAGCCTGTTTTCTTGGTTCTGTTTACCTCCAATACTGAGAAGCAAGTCAGAGGAATGAAAGGTTGTCACAACCCCCCTGAATTTGACATTTGTTCTGTTTCTCACCCTATAGCATATGGGGGTCTATCTATATCCAACTGCTGAGTATGGAGAATTAAACCTGACTGCACGCTGTCTGGTCCACATTTTAGCTTGTTTTCTTTGAAGAATGTGCAAGGTAGAAAAATAGATGCTTCAGGCTCTGATTTCAGCCCATGCTGTGCTATGCAAATGTTCTCGACATGCCTGAGTGACCTTTTTGAGAAAGAGCCTTTGTGATCTTCTGTAGCCAGGGCCTGTTCTGGGAATAGTGTGCCAGATTTCTCTAAAAGTGGGAAAAGTGAATCTGTTCAAAGACCATATAAAAAAGCCAGTGCTTTTCCTGGATAAATACCGATAAGTTCATGTTTCTTACTGTCTCTTGCCAGAGCTTTTGAAATTTGCTCTGCAGTTTGCCTTGCCGGTTGATTTGGAGAATGATACGTGTGAGAGGGGACTGACTAAAGCATTTCTGTAGCTGGGAAAGTGTTTAAGTGCTTTTGAATTGTAGATAAAAGTAAATTCAAACTGGCATCATTAGTATCTGGGTGTTTATCAGTGTCTTCAGGCTGGTTCTCCATAAGTGCCGGCTGAGTGACTTGCAACCAGATTTGTAAGGTTGTCCCAAATTGTGCTCTGATGATTTGGCATTTAAATTGTTTTCTATTTGTTTTGATTATTGTACAAAATGAAATATATCATTATTAAAAGTATAATTAGTGCTTTTTTATGTTATAAAAGAAATACCGTTCTGATGTATTTCTCTTGGAAAGTGATACTGGTGTCTTGGAGGTTTATGGCTTCTGATGCTTTTCCTGAGATGTTTAGTTTCTATAGCTGAAATGGATAAAAAAGAGTTTTCCCTCTCTCCCTTTCCTTAAACCACCTTTTTGATAAGGATTATTACAGGTTTGCACCAGGATAGGGTTGTACAGTGAATCATAATGTTCTCCTGTAGAAATTGTAAAAATTGAATTTTCAGAGAGGGTAGGTAGAATTTGAATGACTGGTTTACTTACTAGGCTCTTCTTCCTTCCCTAAGCATAGGATAAATTTTTTCTCTGAAGATTGTCAGTCTCTTAGGTATGTGTGGACGGTTCTAGAGGAATGCTTTCTTCTCCACATCTTTGCCCTGTAGCCGGTTTTGGCTAAGCAAAGATGAGTAGCTGTCTGTTTTGTTGGTTGGGAAAATCCTTGTCTGTTTTCGTAGTTACATGCGCTGTTACGTGTCTTTTTCTTCTCCTCAAGTTTCCCTGGACCCTGGGCTCCCGAGACAGCAGCGCTGGAGCAGATGGATAATGGAGACTGGGGCTATATGGTGAGATGCTTTTGCAGATGCATTTTGAAGGCTGGCAAATAATTTGTGTGTGTCTTTTCCTGCTTCTTCTGTATTCTTAGGTATAATATGTCTCATAAGAATGAAAATTATAGATTAGTACATCATCCTACCCGCTTAATTAGTTTATTTTTGGGGTCTAGTGTGGTGTTTTTATGTAAGCAAAGTCAGTATGAACTAAGTAACTTGTTATAATCACTTACTTGAGAGCATACTATTTTTTTAGTCTTTAAAGTATGTTGCTCTTAAAACTTATAGAGTAGTGACTATTAAAATGGTCTTGTAGGTGATGGTACAGAGGATATTTTCTTGTGTTAGGGAGGTTAAAGGGTTGAGAAGCCGCCACTTCTCCCACCTGTACTTTTTTTGAGTGTGCATGTCTTCTTATTTTCCTTTTCCTTTGGTGGGAAATATTTCACTTGTTTAGTACCAGAAGTCTCTCTGTCTTTATTTTTTTTTTCTTACATATAACCTCTAAAAGGGAAGGTATATTTATGGTGTATTATTTAGAGAAGCTTGCTTTTCAAAATTAAAGGCCAGATTGCAACATTATTACAAAAGTGAATACATGATCGGATTATAAAATTTGAAAGCTGCTGTTAGCTTTTGGGTATATAAGATTGTGTTGACGATCTATGTATTCTAATTTAGTATTTGCCACTGCTATTTCCATGGAGAAGTTATAAAGATTAGGTCTGCACAAATTTTTATTTTTAAAATAAATTTCACGATTTGTTCCCCTTTTTGAGTGGGAAAAACAAAAGTGTTGAAAGTAGATATCTTTATACTATCAAATCATTTTTATTCTATTTTGTGTTAAATTGAGTTAAGAAAAAAGAAGGTCTCTCTTTTTTTAATCAGAAAAAACTTATGTGAGTATATTTTAGCTTGGCTTTTCTCTTCAATAGTGTACTCTGACCTAAAAACTTCTCTGTAGATACTGGGCCTGAAATTAAGTGGCTTTGGAAGTCATGCTCTCCTTTTTTAGTGTAAGGCTTTAATGAAGTAGATTTATCCTTTTCTTATTGAAAGAAAATGTTAGATCCCTTCATCTGGGTAGGTTTATCATTGACAGTAAAGCTGTTTTACATTATAGGATTGCTAAATACATTATAGCCTGAAGGAATCTTTTGCCTTGCTTGTTGTTACCATTAATTTTCTTAATTTGTCAAAGTTAGGATTTAAGAAATTTCAGATGACTTATCATTTTTTAAAAATTTCAGATGACTGACCCAGTCACGTTAAATGTAGGTGGACACTTGTATACAACGTCTCTCACCACATTGACGCGTTACCCGGATTCCATGCTTGGAGCTATGTTTGGGGGGGACTTCCCCACAGCTCGAGACCCTCAAGGCAATTACTTCATTGATCGAGATGGACCTCTTTTCCGATATGTCCTCAACTTCTTAAGAACTTCAGAGTTGACCTTACCCCTGGATTTTAAGGAATTTGATCTGCTTCGGAAAGAAGCAGATTTTTATCAGATTGAGCCCTTGATTCAATGTCTCAATGACCCTAAGCCTCTGTATCCTATGGATACTTTTGAAGAAGTTGTGGAATTATCTAGTACTCGGAAGCTTTCTAAGTACTCCAATCCAGTAGCTGTCATCATAACCCAATTAACCATCACCACCAAAGTCCATTCCTTACTAGAAGGTATCTCAAACTATTTCACGAAGTGGAATAAGCACATGATGGACACCAGAGATTGCCAGGTTTCCTTTACTTTCGGACCCTGTGATTATCACCAGGAAGTTTCTCTCCGGGTCCACCTGATGGAATACATTACAAAACAAGGTTTCACGATCCGCAACACCCGAGTGCATCACATGAGCGAGCGGGCCAACGAGAACACAGTGGAGCACAACTGGACTTTCTGTAGGCTGGCTCGGAAGACCGATGACTGATCTCGAAGCCTGGGAGAAGTTCCTGGAAACTGACTCTCCAGGACATGGAAGAGACTTTTTTTTTTTTTTTTAAATCACAGTGTGGGATTTTTTTTTTTTTTTTTAATATTTGTATTTATTCGAAGGCATTGACGACCAGAAGGAAGTTTTGTGCTTTAGCAGACTCCTATATGTTTTGTTCCCTTTACCTTGAGTATGCATGTGCCTGTTCGGAGCCTCCAGATACCTTTTTTATAAAAAGAAGTATAAAAATCATTATGGTATATAATCTCTTAACAGAGCTTTTTTTATTACAGTGCTACAATGATTTCTGATTAAATGGTCCCTAACTCAACTAGAAGGCTAAAAATGCAGGAATGAAAGAATGAACAGAGTACTCATGATGCCTTTGAGAAAAACCAAAACATCATGTAGGGTGACCTAGTTTCCAAACCAATAAGCAGTATTGTAATATTAAAGGAAAACTGTTCCAATCATTTAAAAGTACTTGTTAAGTACTGCTTTTTACAGTTATGACAACTGTTTCTTTCTATGCATATAAATCAAGCAACCAAATATCTGTAGCCATGGAAATGTCTGACTAGAAATATTTATATTGGATTCTGAATACAAAATGTCCCTGTGGTAGAACTCTTACTTCTTATGCCTGGTGCAGTATGATTCCCAAGTGTACTGTCTACCAGAAGAAAAAAAAAAACTAATAAAAAATGAAATCTGAAAATTAGGTTTGTATTTGTTGATTATTATTACTTAAAGGGGAAATCATATTTCTTGCCTCAAGTGTGCATTGTTCTGTTTATGTCCCCATGTATACTGCCTGTCGCATCTTTGTATTTGACTCAAGAGGACTCAGTAGAACCTTAGGATGCAGTTTATAGAATCTCCTGTGTTGCTGGAAGCAGGAATGGATGGAATTAATTGTTTTGTCTAAAAGAGTGCATATTTGAACAGTGAACATAGAGTTTGATACATTTTTTCAAATAGGGCTTAAGATTACAGATATTTTCTCAGTAAGCCACCAGTTGTCAGCACTGAATATGACCCTTACTCTAGCTTTGTACTGAGCACAGGGACAAACTGCCTCTTCAGCCACTTTTTTTCTCACAATATTATGGTGGCCCACAAATATATTTTATTATTACAGTTAAGTCTGTTCCTGAGGAGAAAAACTAAACTGCAGTGAGTGAAGGCTCTGGAACAGGAGATGTGTATATACTTTACTTCACTGTGGTCTTATTTTGGATAGTTGATTTGATTCTCTTTCTTGGAAGTTACAGGAAGATTATGTTAGCTATAGTGAGACTAGTTTGCTAGAACACCGTATAAAAGGAAGTCATGTAATTTCTTCCCTGTTTTCTAAGGGAAGAGTAGAGTTCAGAGGCTGTGTGCCCTTGGGTGGGTCACTCCTTTTCTCCTCTTCATGAGAAGATTCTGAGATTCTCTCTCTGAAAGGAGGATGAGAACACTTACTTACATCCATTTTTGCCCATGTCTCTGAAAATTTATTTTAAGATGTGACAAGTGACCAACATCTAGAAACCTATAATTACCCCGTTTTCACCATCTTCAACTAAACCGTCTTCAGCCGTCTTCAAACTAAAACCCCTTCATGCTATTGGCAGGTTGCCGTGGTTTCAGTAAACGTGCTAGTGTGACGTTATCTTTTTAGAAAATTGTCTCATACTTAAAATTGATTAGAGGTTACCCCCCCCCCAAAAAAACTATCCAGCCACTTATGTGTTGTTGAGTTGGCAGAGGTAGATGCAAGACAGAGTGATTTGGGTTGAAAATTGATGTGGAAATGGGAGTAATACTTCTAGCATTTTAAAAGGTAAAATCTTATGGGGTCTCTTCCTTGCCCAGTTTACTGGAGAGAAGTTTGTTTTGGCAAATTTTCTCAGATTTATTAATTATTAACAACTAAGGGGCCCCTGGGTGGCTCAGTTGGTTGTTGAGCATCTGACTCTTGATCTCAGCTCAGGTCTTGATCTCAGGGTCGTAAGTTTGAGCCCTGCATTGGGTTCCATGCTGGGTGTGGAGCCTACTTAAAAAAAAAAAGAAAGAAAAAAGTATTAACAACTAAATGGTTATTTTTATGAGTAAATTAGGAAAAGTAGCCAGCTGAGATTTTTTGCAATTTAATTTGTCTGGTGGAATTTAATTTTGAGTGTTTTATTCCCTTGCACAATATGAAAAATGTAGTTTGATTATATTTGGGTAATTTGAGACAGTTATGCCTTTTTAAGAAAATTTTAAATCATTTTCACTGTGAAATAGTTGATTTTCAAAAATTGATACTCAGTGGTATTCTGAGGGCCCTACATTTTATTTAGATTACTCCAAGTACAGACACTTTTGGAGGAGAATTGTGTATGTCCTTTTAAACCCTTGGCTAAATGTGTGCTAAATTAGACGTAAGTGATAACTGATGAGTCTATTGACTTTAGATCTAAAGTAAAACTCTTTAGTTTTACTAAATAGATGCTACAAATGGATAGCACTACTGTTTTTTATTGTGGGAAATTTCAAACATATTCAGAAGTAGAATAGTGCAAACACTCATGGGCCCATTGACCAACCGTCTTTAGTTGTTCGCTCTCCCTTTTTCATTTCATGGATTATCTTGAAGTAAATCACAGATGTTTCATCCATCCATCCATCCAGATAATGACACTCTTTAAAAAATACATACTTTAAGGGGTGCCTGGCTGGCTGAGTCGGTAGAGTATGCGACTCTTGATCTTGGGATCATGAGTTCAAGCCCCACGTTGGGTATAGAGCTTACTTTATTGTTTTTTTTTTAAGATTTTATTTATTCATTAGAGAGAGAGCATGAGTCGGGGGCAGAGGGAGAGGGAGAAGCAGACTCCTTGCTGAGCTGGGAGCCTAATGCAGGACTCCATCCCAGAACCCCAGCACCCCGGGATCATGACCTGAGCCGAAAGCAGACGCTTATCTGACTGAGCCAGCCAGGCGCCCCTACAGCTTACTTTAAAAACAACCATACACACACACACACACACACACATATTTATACACATACACACACACTTTGAAATATATGAAGTGTATATGAAGCATACTTTAAAGTTTAATGCCATAGTACCATTATCACATGGTGGTGTCTCTTGAATGCTGTTGATTACTTCACAGCTTGGATCTCCAACTTTGTAATAGTGGTCTTAAGTATTTCTCATAGGCAGGGTTCCCCTATTTGTAGAAAAAAGTGCATTGTTAAGATAGTATTTCTGCCAGCATTAATGACCTTTACCTTCAAATTAAGTTTTTAGTTTTAAAAAAGTAACATTACATAAGAGTCTTAATTTTAAAAATTATTTTTTAAATCCATTTGTCTGAACATATGGAGAAACATTTTTTCCAAAGGGCATCCTTCCTTTTCTCATGCAGATTTTAAATTGTGGATGCTGGTGGCCAGTTAAGAAACAGCTTATCATTTGCTTTTGGAATTTAATACAAATAAAATGCTTGACTTTTTTGAGGTTCTTTGAAATTGAACATTAACCACAAAGCAAGGAACCAGAGGGTGGAGTAAGGTAAGCAAGATTCTGTGTCAGAGTAGGTTATTTCCCATTGTTCATTAATGTATATCTTGATTCTTTCCTTTACAGCTCTAGCCTCATCTTTTAATATTTACTTGTTTATTTACTTTTTTGCCTGTCTAGGCTAAAACTTTAAGCTCCTCATTGAAGACAGGGTCTGCGACTCTTTTTTTTCTCCACTGTAGCCTTAGTACCTAGAATAGTTTCTGGCATATAGCATATGCTCAATAAATATTTATTGAATGACTGAATGAATGAATCAGTAGGTATGTTTAATGCATCTAGCAACTACTTGGACAAATTTTTACAGTAGAATAATTGGGGGAAATAGGATTCTTGTTTTGAAATTATCCCCAGTGGTTCCTGCACTGCTTGCATCTATAGGGAATCACGTAAATATGAATTCACATGGGGAGCGGAAACAGCCTTTTGCAATTCACTTTGGAGAATCTGGCTTGAAATAGCATCCAGCTCAGGAAAAATGCCAAAAAACACACCATGGCTAGAGTAAACTATGAGAGAGCACATCATCCTATCTAGGGATAAAGCTCAACACTCACCTGCCCCAGACAGAAGAGAGACTGCCTTATGATTCTAAGACATTTAACAGCATTGCACTTTTCTCTTGGTAGAAAATGTCAGTGAAATATATTCCTGTTTGTAATTTTGTGTCTCCAAGGCATGTTTTAACGTAACTGTTGTTTTAATTTATTTGAAATACCTGCCGTGTGCCTTCTTCTACTAGTGCAAATGAGGGAAAAAATGTCTCTTACTGCAGCTTCAAGATTATAGCAGATTAGAAATATATACCTTGGGGTGCCTGGGTGGCTCAGTCGGTTAAGCATCTGCCTTTGGCTCAGGTCATGATCCCAGGATCCTGGGATCGAGTCCCGCATCGGGCTCCCTGCTCAGCGGGAAGCCTGCTTCTCCCTCTCCCACTCCCCCTGTTTGTGTTCCCTCTCTTACTGTCTCTCTCTGTCAAATAAATAAAATCTTTAAAATATATATATATATATATATATATATATATATATATATATATATATATATATATACACCTTAAAAGTGCTATTTTGGTAGGCTCTCAAGGAGTCAGTAATGTAAGATTATGTGGCTGTATATCAGTAGTCAACCGACTGTCATTTTAACTAACTGGCAACACTTCTCCAAGGTTATTGATAATCTCACATTCCCAAATTGCTGTGCATGGAAGAGCCACATTGCTATACCTGTCCCCTTCTTAGCAAGGTGACGTAAGCCAAGATGGTCAGAGTCTGCAGCTCTGTGTCTGCAGCGGCTTCTTCATCTCACTGTGTGGGTCATAAAACTATGTTCATTTATTCCATAACTGCAAAGTGTCTACTCCAAGACAGATCCTGGTGTTAGGAAGAGGAAGACTCCATCCTTGTTCACAGTCAAGTAGCAGGAGATAGGGAAAAATAGAAGAGTGAATGGGATGAAGTGCATCAACATTTTACCAGCTCTGTTGATGCTGTGGACCAGTCATGCCCCTCATTTACATAAGCCTGCCCTCATATAGTATCCAGAGTCAATGCTTTTAAAGTGAAGATTAGAAACAAAGTAAAAAAAAAAAACAAAACAAAACCGCAAGAAAACTCCCTGTGTTCTTTAGTGAAGATGAGGGATCAGAACTGGCATATTTCCTTGTATTGCTAGGTAAGCAGGTTTGAGCTAGATATGTCAGCATTTGCTGGCCCCTGTTAACAACAGGGTCGGGTTTTCGATGAAGCGTCATATGTTTATCCTTAGACCACAGGAGCGCATCTGGATTAGGAGGACTGCTGTCGTTTTATGCCAGGATTTAAATAATAGAAAGTAGGGAGATCTAATTATTAGAAAAAGTAACATGCCAGAAGTAGCTTCACTGTATTAAGCAATAAATGTATCATACTTTCTCTGGATAAGTTCTTTATATTTTCTTGTCAAGTTAAAAGGATGCCTCCCTGCAGACAGGGAATGACCAAAATGGATTGGCCTTCTATCTGACAAGCATCTTGTAGGTGACCAGTTGCGTTGTAATTTTAGATAATCATGTTAAATTAAGCTATGAGGTATGACAGGATGCAAAATGTGAAGACCAAGTCTAACACCATGCTAAGTGTGAATGAAAGCCTGAGAGTTGCCAATTTTATGAGGTGTTAAGACACCTTTTCTGAAATTTGACCTAAGGGGTAAAAAAGTAAGCTTCACTATCTGAGTAACGTATTTGCACTATAGAGCTTAAAGTAATCTGTTGTGTATCTATAGATTATCTTTGTTTTGATTATCTGTATCAAATCTTCTATTAAATATTGGTTATCAAATTCTAAATATAGGGTTTATTTCATTAATCCAGTTATTGTAGTCATTGACATTCATAACCTTTCCCAGTGAGGCTTACAGCAGAGAGTCTGGGACGCTGGCTCTAGATCATTAGGATTTTATGAGTCCTCCCCTCTTCTGTCAATGACATAGAGTTCTGGTGTTCTCTCTTAGGACAGCTGGGGATCTTTTTGCCATAACCTTTGTAGTTGTCATTTATACGGCTTTCCTGGGCTGCCGATGGCCCGTCAGCAGCCTTCTTTGTTCCTGGGACTGTGTTCCTCAGAGTGCAGAGGAAGGAGGCATCTCCAGCAGACAGTCACATCTGAGAGTGATCCCCCATCCCCTGAATCCTATCCCCTCTGAATACCCATTTTTATCAACACAAAACTGAGAGTTAAAAGGCTGAAAATAAGATGGTTAAATCACAGCAATGATTTATCTTCTTATATTTGTTACTTAAAAGCTAGTTTGCCACTATGTGTGTGTGCCCTTGGGTATGTCAAGCCATAATTTAGAGCTTGGACCTTCCTCCTGATTCCCTTTACCAGATTCTGAGCAATGCCTTCTGCTGATTACAGTCCAGACTCAGAGTTCCTGCCAGGCCACATCCCCACTCCTGGCTTCTTTTATGTATTCTCAAAATATTTTCAACAGACATGCTATGCCAATCGATTTCCAACCTAATAGGAATCAATTAAAATGAGAAAACATGGAGGTGTATTCACTGCTTGTTCTCTGCTCTCTTACATAATTTATAATGTGTTCTACTTAACTACCTGAGTATTGGTTGGTGACTTCTGAGCCCAGTGGAACAGACGTTCATAGACATTTCCATCGTAACAGCCAAGTGCTGAATTTAAACACTGATCCGTGAAGTCAAAAGCATCAGTTAACAAGATGGCATCCTTCCTGTGAGAGAAAACAAGAGTTTGTGAGTATTTTAGATTGCTCTTATGAATCTAATTAATCAGGGATGGTGAATAACAACACCTCATTAGAGGTTGCTTCATTATTCACTTTTGAACAACTCAGCTTTAATTTTTTAGAAGTTTTAATTTTTGATCTGTTCTATATACAAGTATAAAGAGTCCAGTAGTCTTCAAGGCTTGTTATTTAAAATCAGCACCTCCCTGTCGCACCTCTACTTCCCCCACCCCTGGAATCAGTTTCAGTCTTTTAGCTGATATTTTTTGAATGTCTCTATCTTGTTTGGATTGCTATTTCTTGATTGTTCTGTTTTAGATATTATCTGTCAGCTCTCCATTACAAAAAGATAAGGATATGTTTTTGGTCCCCTACCCTCACCCCTGTGTCATCCCCCCCGCCCACCCCAGCTTCTTCTCCTCGGCCTTCCTGCTCCCAGTATAGTTACGATTTCGGTCAGACTTACATTCGCTGCCTGCACTGTGATGGCTGTATGTGTGTATATTATTGTGACTTTATGTATTCTGCCCACAGCTGAGCTGTGTCCCTACCATGTCCTTCCCATTAGTGATCTACCTGCTTGTCCACTGTTTCTCTCGACAACACTTCTGTCATCATCCTCAGTGATTTCATTCCTCTAAAATGTGGCTTCTCGGTTCTGGGATCTTCCCTGCTGACCTTGTTCTGCAGCCTCCCTCTGTCAGTCTCCGCCGAGATCCCACCCCAGGACGCCGTCCTCCACATCTGTACCTTCTCCGTGATGTGAGGTGTGTTCCTTTCACTGGCTCCTGCCCTGTTAGCTTACTCCCTCTAGAGTTCTGACTCTGATAGCCCCCCCTTTTTTTCTTTTCCAAACAACAAAATGTGTTTTAGCCTATTGAATGAAATATTTTAAAAAATTGTTCACATGCTTCTCTTCCTTTTTTTTAGCAAAGAATATAAAGCATAACATTGTGATTGGTTCTGCTTTTCCCTAGCCCTCCTTTTACAAAGCAGTTGAGCTGATGGGGATATTGTACCTATCAGCTTTCATCTTCTCTGGGCAACCCTTCATCATCACTGCAAGAGGATTTCCATTTAGGGCTGTTCACACTTCTTTGACCCTACCCGCACCCACCACTTACTTCACGTCCCTCATCCTCCTGGTGGCCTCCCTTTCTTCCTTATTCAGCTGAAATTTCATGGTCTGTTATATTCACTCCCTCAAGAACACATTCAGCAGTTTTTCATCGACTCTCTGCCACCACCTTTGTAGCTATAGGTGGCTGGGAAACCAGTACTGACTGGTGTAAAAGGGGCTCAGGTGGGCCCTTCCTGCTGCCTAGCGATCATATGACGTTGCTCTAATTCCTTTACTCTCTCATTCTCTTAGATGATTATTTCACACATTCTCTCTGATCGTTAAACCCACACTACCCACCTCCCCATCTCTCTTACTTAGATGACTTTTCGCCCCATTTCACTGATAAAATAGAAGCGGTAAGAGCACATCCACAAGTTCCCACCCATGCATTTATGCGTGCTTTCTCTGTTTTTAGTACAGGTACGCTGTCCAGGGTCCCAGCTCACTCCAGTCCCTCCTCGACCATTAGATGCCTTCCCCTCTTGCCTACTAGAGAACAACGTTCTAGAAATTCTCTTGCCTTTTCTCTACAATGTCAGAATCCCCTTTCTCTACTGGATCATTTTCATATACAAACAGGCTGTCCTATCTCCCATCTTAAAAACAAACTTTTGAGTCTGTTTCCCTCTCCATCATCTACTCTAGATCTTGGATCCCCTTTATGATAAAACTCCTTAAAAGTGTTGTGCTTGTTTATGCTTTGCTGTTTTTTCTTCTCCACCTCTTTAGATTGCTCTTATGAGATCCGTTTAGGTTTTCACTTTCACAGCACCACTGAAATAGTTCTTGTCAAGGCCACCTCCTCTCATCCTCTTTGGAGGGTCCCAAGACTCAGTACTGGGGCCTCTTCTCTTTATACAGTCACTCCATGTGATATCCTTCTGATGGCTTTAAATACCAGCCATATGCTAATGACTTCCAAATTTCTCTCTCCAGTCTCACTTACCTGCTTATTAACATCTTGATTTCTAACAGGCCCTTCAAAGTTAACATGTTCAAAGCCAGACTCCTGATCTTCTACACCTTCTCCTGTGCATCCTGCCCAAATCTGGTGCATTTATAGCAAATGGCAACTCTGTCCTGGCCAAAAACCTGAGCTCCTCTTTGTCACTTACACCCCACATCTGTCAGCAAATCCTGTTCTACCTTCAAAATATATCCAAACTTCAGCCACTTCCTACTACCTCCGGTGCTATCACCCAGTCTAACCCAACATCATCTTTCACTTGGGTTTTTGAGGTAACCTCCTAGCTGGGCTCCCTGCTTTGTAGTCATCCCCCTTGCCCAGTCAGTTCTTAATATGGCAGCTGGAATGATCCGTTAGAAAAATTCATCAGGCGATTGAAACGCTGAAAACCCTCCCACTCTCACACAAAGTAAAAGCCAACATCTTAAGTCTTTGCAATGATCTCCACCCCGCTTCGCCCCTGCCCCAGTACACCCCTAACTCTGACTTCTGCTCTCATTCCCCACCTCAGTCACTGTTCTCTTCTCTGTTCTCTGGATGGATGTGCCAAGCATGCTCTGGCCTCCAATGTTTGGACTTCTCTGCCTGTGGTGCTCCTTTCCCAGCCAACCCCATGGCTCCTCTCCTGTCCCCAGCCCTTGAGATCTTTCCTCAAACATCACCCTCCCTGGGAGGCCTTCTCTGACTTATTTAAAACTACATTCCCTGGGGTGCCTGGCTGGCTCAGTCGGCTCAGTCAGTGGAAGGTGCAACTCTTGATCTTGGGTTTGTGAGTTTGGGCCCCATGTTCGGTGTAGATTACTTAAAAGTAAAATCTTTAAAAAATAAAATAAAACCACAGTTCCTCCCCCCCCGCCCCCCCCCCCCCCGCCCCAGCATTGCACTCCTGGCATTCCTGACCCCTTCCCTGCTTTCCTTTTCTTCATAGCATTTATTTACCATTTTGCACACTGTATGATACTTGACTTATTTTTTCTGTGTGTGTCTCCTTTAGTCTGTAAACATCTATGGCCTTTTCAGTCTGAAACTCGTGTTCTTCATTTGAGGAGTATTTTCTTGAATTATTTTAATGGTTTGTTCCCTTCGATTTTCTCTGTCTGCTCTTCCTAGACCTCTTTTTCAGACGATGGGCAGTTAGGATCAGTCTTCTTACTATTTTTATCTTTTCTCCTAATTTTTATCTTTTTGTCTTTTTGCCTTCTTTTCTGTGAGATTTATGTAACTTTCTCTTTCAGTCCTTCCACTGAGTTTTTCATTTCCACTATCATTTTTTAGTTTCATAGAACTTTTTTTTTTTCTGAATATTGCTTTTTAAGAAATGACATTCTTGTTTTGTCGTTGCTATATCTCCTCTTAACTCTTTGAGGATATTACTGATCTTTTAAAACAGATTCCTTCACCCTGAAGATTCCCTCCAACTTGTTTCATTCTTGCTTGTTTGGGTCTCTGTTTTATGTTGGGGCTTCCCCCAGGTGTCTGGGGATCTTGAGTCTCTGATCGTAGCTAAGAATGGGGCACTAGCTATCTGATTACAAGTCTGGGCATGCTTGCCAATGTGTGGGATTCACTCTGGAGTGAACTGGGGGGACCATGGTGTCAGTATCTCCAGTTCTCTCTCCTTTGGGCTGGTCAGATTCTCCAGAGAAGGAGCACGCTGTCATGTTCCTGTAGCGTACTCGCCTGGCTGCCAGTTTTCTGGGAACCGGGGGAAAGAGGGCTGGTGGAGGGGGCTTAGGTTAGCACTTAGCCTATAAACATTTATTCAGTCCCCTGTTTTCTGTAGGGTAGCCTCATTCTCAACTATGCCTGATGTTCCCTGGCCCACAGGCCGTCTGTGTACCCTTCTGCCAGGGTGGAGTCAGGAGAATCTCAAATCTCTTTTTTAATCTTTTTTTTTTTTTTTAAGGTTTTATTTATTTGACAGAGAGAGACACAGCGAGAGAGGGAACACAAGCAGGGGGAGTGGGAGAGGGAGAGGCAGGCTTCCCGCTGAGCGGGGAGCCCCATGTGGGGCTCGATCTCAGGACCCTGGGATCATGACCTGAGCCGAAGCAGATGCTTAACGACTGAGCAACCCAGGCACCCCAAGGAGAATCTCAAATCTCTTGCAGAGAAGGAGGGGAGCTGGGAGTTAAGCTCCTTCTAGAAACAGACTTTTGGCCCATCCTGTGGGACTTACCTTCACCCCTCTTGCCAGAGGTACACAGTGCTGCTAGTTCTTGGGGTTCTTTGGTATAACTTGTTTCCCACTCTTGGTTTATGATCCAGTTTTCTCAGATCTGCTAAGTCACTGTCCATCTACTTTCTTATTTTCATGTTTCCTCCCCTGTTCTTTTTCTTTTTGTGGGTTTATACCTTTTTAAAAATTTCAACCATTAGCTGGTGTGTTCATGGGGTTTCAGGAGGGAACAAAAGTAAATGCATATGATCAATCTGCCATCTTCACCTGTATGTCCCCCACCTGAGATTTTGCAACCCCTTAAACAACTATAAACTATTTGGGTCAATTACCATTACACAGAGAGCTGGTTCTTAGTGTCACATGTAATAGTGTGCCATCCTTCATTTGTCATCTAGAAATCAGAGGGTGATACTAAGTAATCAAGGGAGGGACTTATGACACAGAATTGTTACAAGCATGGAGTCTGTTACAGACCTAACTCCCTTGCAGTGATAGGAAGATTGTTACTTAAGAACCATAACTGAGTAAATCAAGTGTTGTGGGTTAGATGCATGCATAAGTTGCCTATCTGTGTCAGTGCTGTTGGTCTTAAGTTGTAAGTCTCTGGCGCCAAGGCAAGCACTTAGAAATGGCATTGCAGATAAAAAAAAATCATGCTTATGAGGTGTTAGGGTGATCTTTTGTGTTTTATCATCTCTGTCAGTCAAGGCTTGTATCCTATTGTCTTCATGTGCTTTAAAATGCGGAGCATTTCAGGGGTGCCTGGTGGCTTAGTTGGTTAAGGTTAAGCGGTTAAGCTGACTCTTGATTTTGACTCAGGTCATGATCTTAGGGTCCTGGGATGGAGCCTGTGCACTGGGCTCTGTGCTCACGGGGAGTCTGCGTGAAGATTCTCTCCCTTTCCTTTTCCCTCAGTCCCTCCCCCTGCTCAGGCTCTCTCTCTCAAATAAATCAATCTTAAAAATAAAATAAAATGCCGAGCATTTCAGGATTAAGATACACTTGGGCTTGAACTGTGCAATACTCAGTTCTGCTATTAATGGTTCCCACCACTGGATTCTCTATATTAGGGAAAGTTTAATACCTAGGGCATACTTGTATAAAATGTATTTTTGACAGTTTTTGATGATTTAATTGAACATTTACTGACCACTGAATATCTGTTAGGTGCTTATATGGAGTCCTAAATGGTTTGTAACATGTTGCATGTTGTTAGAAATAAAAATAATTTGATCTAGTTTTTTTTTGAATTTTGTCACAAGTAGTTTATTTTTTAAATTTCAAATCTTTTGCCTTTTTATCTTAGTCTTACAGATAATATGAACTATTGGAGATTCTAGGGGAAAAGACACACACACACACACATACACATGTCACACCACCCCACATAAAACAGTCATCCTATTTTCTCAGAAAAGGTTGCATTCTCAAGTAGCCCATTTTTATCTTATCGACAATGGTGACTACCCTGTTTTGTTTTTCTTCCAGTGCCCTGTTGTGGTTGGGGCTTTGATTTCGATGTTTGTATGTATGTATGTATGTATGTATGTATGTATGTATGTATGTATTTATTTATTTAGATTTTATTTATTTGAGAGAGAGAGAATAAGAGACAGCACGAGAGGGAAGGGGATCAGAGGGAGAAGCAGACCCCCTGCTGAGCAGGGAGCCCGATGTGGGACTTGATCCCGGGACTCCAGGATCATGACCTGAGCTGAAGGCAGACGCTTAACCAACTGAGCCACCCAGGCGCCCAATTTCGATGTTTTTAAAGTGATCATTTAGATTATATATGATGTAACAGAATGAAAGCATTGCATTAGTATGTCATGACCCTTAACTGTACTGCATTATGTTGCATTTAAGAACTATTTGTATTATTGCTTTATGAATCTGTGTATGAATTCCCGGGTTTTAAAAAAAAATTAATCTTGAAGCTGAGGGAGAATTAAAATAAGTTTAGTCCACTTAGTAAGAGTTTGCCTAAGCACATCCAACAAAGAGAAGGATATATTTGAAATAAACAATCGCCCCCACCTTAACTTTAATACAGTTTAAGAGCATATGCTCAGGGGTCAGACAGGCCCCAGATTGCACCCAGCTCCTCCCCTGGCTGATTGTGAGACTTTGGGCAAGTTACTTACTCCCCTCAGCCTGAATTTCCTCCCCAGTAAGATAGGGGAGATTAATAGTATTCATTTCGGGCGCCTGGGTGGCTCAGTTGGTTAAGCGACTGCCTTCGGCTCAGGTCATGATCTTGGAGTCCCGGGATCGAGTCCGGAATTGAGTCCCGCATCGGGCTCCCTGCTCCGCGGGGAGTCTGCTTCTCCCTCTGACCCTCCTCCCTCTCATGCTCTCTGTATCTCATTCTCTCTGTCTCAAATAAATAAATAAAATCTTTAAAAAAAAATAGTATTCATTTCAAAAGACTATAAGGATTAAATGAGATGATGTATGTGAAAGCTTTTGGCATAATGCCTGGCACATATAAGTGTTCCTTAAATATTAGCTATGATTAAGACTCATTGATATTATTAGTACATCTTATGAATATGGTAGGATGCTTCATTTAGATACTCTTCCTATTTACAATGTTGAAGAGTATTCAGTTGAGATCATTTGTTTTTAAGCATTTTTATTTCTAATTGTTTTTTCTTTCATTAATCCATCATGCTTTATGTGGATGGAATCACGCTACAGTGTCAACCTCTCCAGGGTGGTTGCTGCTTTTGCCGGACCCCATTTAGCAAGGTTTTGGAGTGGGAAGTGAACAAAGGGTCTCGGGCTATTCTCTGAAGATTACCATGGTTTGAGGGCAGCCACTCACCGGATGAGGCGGAGCAGGTCCAGGTAGGCAGTTCTCACCGCATCTACTTGGGCCCCAGACAGGAAGCCATCGTGGAGAAAGTCACCGGCATTAGTCAGGATGCCGTGTAGAGCATAGAGGTCACAGAGGCGTTTGAGCACCTGCTGAACTGCCGGTTGGTTTTCTAGTTTCTCCAGAGTTTCTGTAAAACTCTTCACACTGAGATAGAAGCAGTGTGCCTAAAAGACACGAAGATCCATCAGCTTCTGGTTTCTGACTTCAGAAGTTATCCTGGAGGCTGGGCAAGACTGCTGGAGTAAGCTCGCTGTGGCCAAGTGTTTCCCTGCGGGCCGACGAGCAGCTGCCTGTGCTCCGAGCTCACCGTGGGTCTCGATGCTTGTGTGTGCGTGCGTGTGTGCCCCTGCTGGGGGCTTGTGGGCTCTGGGACTTGGCCCTTGGCTTACTCATTTTGTTTGGGGGAAATTTCAAGGAGGTTTGTAAGTAGAAAGAATACAGGGGTATTGGAGCCTGGCCTGGAGACAGTGGAGGACTGCACCACTTTTCTTAAGAAAACAGCTGTTTATTGTTTGCCATGTTTAAGGCAGTGGTGTGTGTGTGTGTGCTTGTGTGTGTCTTGGGGTGAGAAAGCAGAGGTACACGATGGACATAAAGTTTATCCCAGCTAGGGCGCCTGGGTGGCTCAGATGGTTAAGCGTCTGCCTTCGGCTCAGGTCATGATCTCAGGGTCCTGGGATCGAGTCCCACATCGGGCTCCCTGCTCCTTGGGAGCCTGCTTCTCGCTCTGCCTCTCTCTCTCTCTCATGAATAAATAAATAAAATCTTTAAAAGAAAAAAAAAAAGTTTATCCCAGCTAGAGAGTAAACTCTGCAAGGTAAGCAGGGCTGTTATTTAGCCCATATCCAACAGTCTGGCTTTGTCACTAGTTAAAATAAAACTTTTGGGCACCTGGTCGGCTCAGTGGAGCATATGACTCTTGATCTCAAGGTCATGAGTTCAAGGCCCATGTTGGGGGTAGAGCTTACTTTAAAAAAAATTATAAAACTTTTGGTACCATTTGGTAAGTGACCACTGCGCTCAACTGAGTGAGACCCCCATCTCTGTCAGCCAGGATCCTTCCCTGGGACCCCCTCCTCCCCACAGTTCGGCAAATAAAGGACGAATGCCTGACCCAGCAGGAGGCTTTCAGGCTCCTGCTTCCGTTAGGCCTGAAGTCCTTTCTGATTGGCCTGTGCCTCTGCCCTACTGGTTGTTGAGTATTCTGAATATTCCCCTTCTCCCCAAGATAAATGCGCATTATTGTTTTATTGTTATCAGGTTAGGTATATGAATTCCATGGGGGCGGGGAGGGAAGGACAGCAAATAAAACTCTTCTCAAATGTTTACATGCATACAGATCAGCTGGGCATCTTGTGAAAATGCAGATTTCCTAGTAATGCCTGAAGTAGCAAGGCTTAGACTGTTTTGAGGGTTCAAAGAAGTTTCCTCAGGGGGGCCAGGAGGGGTTATTGCATGTGCACAGAGCTGTACTTGCAGGAGCTGCACCAGCCTGCTGAGGCTGCCCCCGTGAGGCATAATCAGGTGTTGACAGACCTGGACTGAGGCTGTATTAGAATGGGTACCAGCATTTGCTCCTGTGTTCCTAGGGGACGGACCTCTCTCCTGAGCAGGGTCTCAGATTATAGGACCAGAGCCCATCAGAGCCTTAAGGTCTTTTCCATGCCCCTTTATTTTACAGACCGGGAAGTTACAGCCCAGAGAAGGAAGGACACCTGAGGTCACTCAGAGAGGCAGGTCATGCACAGAGCTGGAAACAGAACTTAGGCCACTGTTCCCCACTCCCCTGTGTTGCTGTCACTCTTTACCTGCATATTTATGGTTTCTAGATGGGACTTGGTGGGTGCTTAAGGTTTCTGTAGAGTAGATGGTTTTTCCAAAGCATGAAGCTCGGAAATTGCAGCTCTCCCTGCCCCTTATGACTTTGGTGAGTCAGCTAGGGCACCATCTCCCCAGGAAGCCACTCTTCTTCAGCTTACAATGGCCAGAGGAGAAGGGACTTGCTTTTCTCCTCTAGGCTGGCAGAGCTTCCCACCCTTGGTGCCTGTAGAACTTGGGGAACACCTCCCTCCCTCACACACAGTGGCTCTCTGAGGACACAGCTTGCATCTGTGGGGGAAAGGAAAGCAAAGCATCTTAACTATTTTCTACCTCTGGGACTTAATTCCTTTGAGTTCTATGTCCTCATCCTTAAAATAGAGATTATGCTACTCTCACCCCCAGGGTGGTATGTATTAAATGAGGTAACCTGGCATGCAGTGTCTGGTCCACTGGAAGGCAGAGCATAGGTTTAGAAAATGGATGCATAATGGGCAGCTGTGATTCCTTTTGTGGTAGTCTGGTGAGAACACAGCCTTGGCTCACCCCCCTCTGTGTTGATAGGACATTTAGCACAGCAGGGCGTGCTCCTGCGGGAGACAGCCCCGTGGATGGTGGCTGCGTTAAGACCAGCACCAGCTGATGTGGTAGAGGGGGCGGGTCACCAGGTGGCGCTCACGCCCAGCCTGCCCCGTGAGGGCTGCTAGAAAACATTCCTCAGGCTTTCCGGCCAATTCCTGGGCCTGATGCCTGAGGATCGAAGTGTTCACCTTGGTTTTGCAGCTGTAGGTAGGACCAGAGTCCCAGGTGCCTAAGCTGGAGCTCAGGAGTCAACCTCTTCCCCACCCCATTACTCTCTGAAGGCTCTTGCTATCTTCTATGCCCTTAATATGTCTGCATCCTCCCACTTGTCTCTATGCCCTCTGCCAAGTTCATGGTCAGGACCATCCTCAGCCCTTGCCCAGACTGCTGCTGCCTGCTCCTAACTGGCCTCCAGCCTCCAGTCCATTGCTCCCCAGGCAGCCTGTATGATTCTTCGACAATGAAACTCTGATCACCTCACTCCCGTGGTACAAAGTCTGCAAGGAGAACGAAACCAAACTGCTCACAGTGATGCAGAAGGTCCCAGGCCTTGCCCATCTTTTCTCCTCCCCTACCTGCTTACCTCTCCTGGGTTCAGTCTTCCTCCTTTAGCACCCAAATTTGTACTTCCTCAAGCACCTCCCCTTTTCTTGCCTCTTCCTTTTCCACCTGCTATTCCCTTTGCCAGGAAACCTTCGTTTCCCAAACCACAGCCTCTACCCTTTACCTGGCTAATTTCAGCTCATCCTTGAAGTCTTGGCCTCTGTGCCCTTTCTGGGAAGCCTTTCTGGTCCTCATGCCGGGTAGAGCTGCACTTCTCTGGGATCCCGGGCAGCCTGTGTCTCCGTCACTGTGCTGCCTTGACTGCAACGGGTACGGGCACCATGGAGCCCCCAGTCCCTAGCCCGATGCCTGGTGTCGAGCGGGTGCTCAAATATTTGCTGACTGAATGTGAATTACGCACAAACACAAAACAGAGTAGAACTGAATCAGACATCTAAGGATTGCCTGCGGGGCTAAGAGGAGACTTGACCTGCTTTTCGGTGTGGGAGGAAATATTTGAACAACCTGAAGCAAATCCAGTAACACTGCCTCATTACATTTTTCCCTAAGAGCTGTCAGCAAGATTGCTTTGGAGTTAAGTCCTTTAATTAAAATAGCCTGGACGAAAGCCTTGGAAGTGAAATGAGGGCAGCCACTGAGCAGGGCTGGGGAATAATGGCAGCGCTCAGATTTTCTCCGCATGGTGGCCTGCGGGGGAAACAAAACGGGCCCCTTTCAGCTGGAGCTTCAGCTGACGGGCAGCTCACCTTAGCAGCCTGGAGGTGTATGACAGTGGTCTGGTTCCATGCCTCATCCCAGTCAGCCCCGGATTGCATCACAGTCTCTAAGTGATGCACTGAGTCCTTTATGAGCCTGACGGCCAAAGAAAAAAAGGTTCAACTTCCTGACTGAGTGGGAAACAGACTGATGGAGCCTGGTCTCAGGCTGCCTGGGGATCCCTCAGAAGTAGAAGTGCAGTAATGTCCATTCATTGACCTTTGCTTTGTATTGCAAAGCTAAATGTTGACTATACATTATTTCTTTAATCCCCCCCCTTTATTTTTTAAGATTTTATTTACTTATTTGACGGGGAGAGAGACACAGCGAGAGAAGGAACACAGCAGGGGGAGTGGGAGAGGGAGAAGCAGGCTTCCTGATGTGGGGCTTGATCCCAGGACCCTGGGATCATGACTTGAGCCGAAGGCAGATGCTTAACAACTGAGCCACCCAGATGCCCCTCTCTTTAACCCTTTTAAGGGTAGGCTTTAACCAATTTACAATGGGGAAAACTGAGTCCCAGACTGGCTCACTTAACCTGTCCGGGGGCGGGGGGGGGGGGTGGTCACACAGCTAGTGAGGGGTGGAGCCATCTTAACCTATGAGCTGTAAAGCCTCGGGGCTCTAGGCCAGGCACTGACCCTCCTTTCTAATACAGACACCATCCTGATGTCAGTGTTTTCAGGCCATTCTGTTGACCGACTTCTGTAGCTGAGCAAGGACAATGGTTTTCCCGGAAAGGCTAGTGACGCCTGTCAGTCACCCCAGCCAGTTCCATGTTCTACCAAAGGGACCTTAAAAGGCTAGAAAAGAAAAATAACCCTTGTTCTCCAAACCACTAAATTGGTCATTGGCTATTTACTTAACCTTTATTCTTTTATTTTCTGTTCCCTGCCCATCCACTCATGACCCTTGGGATTTCTGTTGCAAAACACACTATTTATTAAGCAATACTTATTTTTTTGCATCAGGGAGTAGATAAGCAGATGTCACCTTGAGTTCCAAGCAAAAATCAATATAATGGCATTTTAATTACCCTGAGCAGCCTTATCGGGCTCTCGACACCTCCCCCAACTCAAATGTTCGTTCTCTGAGGCCTGGGCTTTTTATAACTGGTTTATTGATAGATCTGCAGTGCCTAGAATTGTGCCTGGCACACTGTGGGCACTTAGTATTTGTGGAATAAATACATGAATGTCCAAAGTTGCTTGTGATCTTTTTTTTTTTTTTAAGATTTTATTTATTTACCTGACAGATAGACAGCGAGAGAGGGAACACAAGCAGGGGGAGTGGGAGAGGGAGAAGCAGGCTTCCCGCGGAGCAGGGAGCCCGATGTGGGGCTCGATCCCAGGACCCTGGGATCATGACCTGAGCCGAAGGCAGACGCCTAACGACTGAGCCACCCAGGCGCCCCCAAAGTTGCTTGTGATCTTAAAATAATTATTAACCATCCCTTGGACCACAGGTTGGGGTATAAGACCTTTTTATATGCTGAAATTATTTCTTCCGGGTTGTTTTGGTGTTTTAGTTGGGTAGAAGTTCAGAAGGTTTATTTCTTAGGTACTTCCATCTCTCTATCTATTCTGTGATGGTGTTTGTGTTTGGCCAGGACCTCTTTTTATTCCCAGCCCTTGGCATGTTTGGACATTTCTGACGCACAGGAGGTACCCAACAGTATTTGTTGAATGACAGAATGCCTGAGTCCCTGGTCCTGTTTGTGTTCCCTGGAGTCCACTAGATAGACCCTGGCAATAAACTAATCCTATCCCTTGATGTAGTTGGTTTTTTTTTGAAAATTACTTTTAGTTTGTGGGCTATTTTAAATACAGTATTGGTATTTACTTTATTATTTACCATTATTCACATACTGATACATTTGTGGTATTTACAAATGGGGCACATTCACTGCATTGCAAATCACAGTAAGAACCTAAAGATAGAAAAAGTTCAGGGCACCTGGGTGGCTCAGTTGGTTGAGCAGCTGCCTTGGGCTCAGGTCATGGTCTCAGGGTCCTGAGAGCAAGCCCCTGCTCAGCGAAAAGTCTGCTTCTCTCTCTGCCTGTCCCCTGCTCGTGGTCTCATGCTCTCTCTATCTCTCTCTCAAATTAAAAAAAAAAAAAAAACAACTTAAAAAAAAAAAAGAAAAATTTCCTTGCACTGGCAAGAGGGGTGATGTCCTTCTACTAGCTCGGCCAGGATGGGGAAGTGATGGTGGCTCATGGATGTGGCTTCCCCTTCTCTGCTCATGGTGGCAGGAACTGAGAGGACTGAGGTTGGGGAAGGGGGTGCTTTTCAGAGGAGTATCCACAAATGCTCACCCCGCCCGCCCCAAAGGCCCTAGTGTGGGAAAGAGCCTGCCCCCAGGTGGAATGGCTAATTTCTTGCTCACCTGGTTGCTACGTGTGCCCAGGCCGTGGTGTAGAGTTTTGGGTGGAGGAAGTCGGCTGCTTTCTGGGCTGGGCATCTGGCCAAGTCAGTTGTGGTCAGGTATGCAATAGACTGAGGCAGAGACTTCTGCAGTGTGGAACCTGGGGTTGCCTGAGCTTGAGCTTGCAGGTAGTTTTTCACCAGAAACCTGGGCGGGGGTGGGGGGGCGGTAGAAGAGGTAAGCAGGGGGGAGCCCTGTGGGACCGCCCAGCACCCCTGTTGCCCAGGAACATGCACTCTTATACTCCCTACGGGAGAACCAGGGCCATGCAGGCTCTTGCCTGGCCCCTCCTGATAGACACTCAGATCCTGAACATAAACCCTTTTGGTATCTGAGCAAACAATCTTTTCTTCTGGTTAGGATCTTGGGATTTGGGGATTCGTGCTGAATTGTACAGTGACGGCGGAAATTAAATTTTTGTACTTGAGGAAGGATAGGTGTAAGAATGCTAACATGAGTGGAGAGTTACAGGTGACTCTCTGCTTCTTTCCTCTGATGACCCAGTGGTTATAGGCTCTGGGCTCAGCCATCCTTGGATTCCCCGGGCAGCTCTGCTGAGACCTCTGTGACACGTGTACATATTATTTCACCTCCCTTGGCCTCAGTGTCTCCATCTCTGGATGGGGATAATAATAGTCACCTGATAGAAGGTTTGTGAAAACCGAGAAAATACTGTAATGCTCCTATAATGGTGGGGTACAGAGTGTCTAATACAGGATACTGTATCCTCCTTATCATTTGAAAAGACTTCCCATAATATTATTATGAACGTGAAAGGCCTTGCCAGTCAAGCCCCCACACACAGAAGAGAGTGAACAGAAGCCTGCAGTTGCATCCCTGCCTGCCTGCCTGCCTGCCTCTCAGGTGGGAACCTCTGCGTGCAGGCCCCGTGCTGAGCCCAGGGACAGGCGGTGAGCAAGGCCCTCAACACTCTGGCTCACAGAGAAGAGCCTCTCAGATTGGGTTGAGTGGGAGGGCTGGAGCAACTGGAGATGGCGTGTTCAGTCAGGGTGGGCATCTAAGTGGGGACCTGAGGGATGAGAGGAGCTGCCTACAGCCGGCCCCGCAGGCTGGGACAGAGCATTCAGGGGAGGGAAGCTAGCGGGAGCCAGTGATGGGAAAGAGGAACCGTGTCCAGCCCCAGGGGAAGGGAGAGCACGATGGGAAGGGAGACGGGGAGGGGGGTGGGGCAAGCCGCAAGGACTCCGCAGGGCAGGTGCAGTGGTTTTCCCATGAGCTGTGGGGAGCCCCTGAAGAATGTGAAGCAAGGGAAAGCTGTGCTCTTGTCCCGCCCGCGAAAAGCTCCGGATGGACTGGAGACAGACTGTGCGAGTCAGTTGGTCTCCGTGTGGCGTTGCCTGGTGCCTGTTCCGGCCGTGGGCATCGGGCGCTGCTTCAGCCCACGCAGGGGCCTTACCTGGCTGTCTGAAGGTAGAGCACGGTGTTGTCACCCTCATAGGTGCAGGAGGCTGTCACTCTGCTGACCAGTGAGGGCAGGCCGCTCAGCTTCGAGTAGCCATGGCCGCCACAGGCTTGGCGGCACAGCTCAGTCCCCTGGAGGCACAAGTCTGACGTCATGGCCTTGATGCCTGCACTCAGTGCATGAAGCTGCAAGAACAGGGCATCAGGATGAGTAAGGAGTCCCTCCAGGAGCAACCATGCTTCCCGCTCATTGAGCACCTGCTGTATGCCCATGACAACCCTGTGAGTAAGAATGATCTCCTCGGCTTGCAACTTTACGAACCAGAAGGCTGAGATTCAGAGATGTTACGTGACCTGCCCAAGGTCATACGATGAGGCAACGTAGCTGCAGGGCAGTAAAAACAAAGGAAAACTGACCAGGCCAGTGTCTCCAGGATCTCGGGAAGAGGGTGCTTCCTGGATTGGGCTCACCATCATTTAGGAGTTACGGACTTTGCTGGCAAGTGGAGTTTTTGGAGAGCTGGCCTGTGACCGTGGAGGTCCACCATCAACCCACTGGCCTGGGCTGCAGGAGGGGCTGCCAGGCAGCAGACCTGGTTAGAGCTTTCGGTTCTTGAAAGCCCTTACCCATCTTTCAGACTCTTGAGTCCTTGGGAGGAAGGTCATGTTCCTTAATCTCTCTGTGCTTCACTTTCCTAATCTGTAAAATGGGAATATAAATGAGGCCAGTGGCACAATTGGGGATTGATGAAGCAGTGCTTACTTATAAAGCACAGGGTCTGGTGGACGAAACCTTAGTGTATATCTAAGTGCATAATCCTTCATCTGAGACCCTTGTGCCAGATGTGTTTCAGAATCAGTATTTTTTTGAATTTTAGAAAGCTAAAGCAGGGCATTGAAGGCAGATTATATATAATAGCCAGAAAAGTCTGGGGCAGCCTTAGTGATCAAACTCATTAGTATTTCTGCTGCAAAATGTATACACATCCAGTGGGATAAATCAGATCACTTCAGGTCCTACCATGCCACCAAATGTGTAATTTGTAATTTTTCTGTAATATTTCAGAGCTTTTTAGGTTTCACATACACACCAGGGATTGTGCTCCTGTGTTCTATGTATAATGTGTGATTATTCCCTCTAGCATTTTTGGAGCTTTCTGGAGGCCAGATGTAGGTGGATTTATATGTGGGGGTACAGTTCGCCCTGGGTGCCCCGGGGATATTGGAAGGCTGGGGGGAGGGAGTAAAAGGAGTCCTTGGGAACAGGAGTGGGGCTGCTTCCCAGTGGGCAGAACAATCTCAGCCACCTTCCCAGCTCCGGCCACCCCCCCCACTGCCCCCCAGACAGCAGATACCTCCGGCAGGTGGCTGAAGTCTTTGTTGAGAATGGCATTGTAGGAGCTACGTAAGAACTCTAGGAGGCTGCTCGCCAGGAAATGGAATGCATAGGCTGTGGCCAGCTGAGGGAAGAGTTTCTGCTGCTGTGTCTGGTAGTCCAGGATTTTTGCCTCTGGGTCGCTGAGGGGAGGAAAAGCAGAAGGTTTAGAAGATTGCTACCTGCCCCCTCCACCTTCCCATATCCCCAGGACCAAAAAAAGACTTAAAAACTGATCGTTTTTTATAACTCACTGCAAAACTTGACCTGAACTGACATGAGGTTAGTAATAATCTTAAAATTCCATCTAACATGAATATCCACACATTTCTCTATAGAAATATTGACAGGTTTGCCGATAGGTGCTGCCCCTTACGGGGGACGTGTACAAAATCACAGCCTGTGCACCATATTATCCTACCGACATCTGGAAAGTTCTGAATTCCAACACATTTGGTCCCAAGGATTTCAAGTGAGGGCTTGTGGTCTTGTACCCCTGATGATTTGAAACCGGACCTGTCACTGTCCAGGTGCACATAGTATGTGCTGGGGGGTACATCAAGTCTAATCAGTAATTCTGAGGATGTGAACTTGGGTCTGACGGAATCCCAAGGCAGGGACGGCCTTGTCCATTGCTATGTCTGCAGTGCCTGAGACTGTGTCCAGCACGAAGGGGACCAGAGTAACAATTTGTGGATTAAAAGAAAGCGTGACTGTGAGAAGCCTCCCATGGCTGTTGGGGAGAATCTTAGGTCAGCAGTCCCTCATTTATTTATTATTGGTGGGGGAAGGGGCAGAGGGAGAGGAGAGAGAATCCCAAGCAGACTCCCCGCTGAGTGCAGAGCCCAACACGGGGCTCAACCCCATGACCCTGAGATCATGACCTGAGCCGGGACCAAGAGTTGGATGCTTAACCGACTGAGACACCAAGGTGCCTCAGACACACACTATCATAACCATCCTTGGGACACTTGTGGAACCCAGAAAACTGGGCTCTGGATGGGACTTCAGCAGCAGCACCTTTTCCCCAGCACCCCTGTCCTCCGGAGAAGAGTCCCTCAGCAGGGGGAATCTGAAGCCCAGGCCAGTGGCGGTGCCCTGGGTTTGCCAGAGGAAAGGGACCCCGGGCTCTGGGCCTGGCTTGCTTCGTTGCATTTCACTCTCCACACTGCCCTGAAAGAGTGCTCCTGTCATGCCTGTGTTGTGGGTGAGGACACTGAGGGACAAAGAGGTGGTGCGACTTGCCTAAGCTCCCATGGCTGGCACGCGGCCCAGCTGTGTGTCCCCCAGGTCTGTCCGGCATCTGACCCTCAGTCCATTTTGCATTAGACTCCTGGATCCTTGAGCCCACGGCATAAAGCATCACCGGATTCTTAGACTGGAAGTTCTCTCTTCACATTCCAGGGGAGGAAACAGAGGCCCTGAGCGGGCAAAAGACTTGCCCAGGGTCACTTAAGCAGAGTTGGGACAAGAACTGCCGGGCTGAAGCCCATCCCTCAGTCAGTCAGGACTCGACCCTCTCTTCCCACACTAGCACCTTATGCTCAGCTCCTCGCTGCGACATCCTGGCTGCATGTCTCCATTGGGGGCATATTTATCCTAAAATATTATTTGCTGTTTACCCAAAATTCAAATTTAACTGGTAGCCTGTATTTTCATTTGCTGGAAACCGCGCGTGTGTTTACACAGGCACGCACACGAGTGGGTGCACATAACACACAGTAAAAAACAGAGTATGGCGGTGCCTGGCGGGCTCGGTGGGAGGAGCATGTGGAACTTGATCTCAGGGTCATGAGTCCAAGCCCCACATTGGGTGTGAAGATTACTTAAATAAATATTCAAACAACAACAGAGAGTACAGTCAGCTATTCAGTCCCATGGAGCAGAGGGAGCATCCGCTGGATGCAGCCACATGTGAACAAAATGGTCCAGACTTGGACATGCCCCACGTGGGGATGCTGACAGCCACAGCCGGACAGAACCAGCTTCAGCCGTGCACCGTCCAGTGTGACGGCTGGGCTTTCCCAGACACGATCGCTCACGCCCTGACCGAGCTCAAGAGCCACAGTCACCCACCTTTTGGCAACCAGCTGACGACCCAGACACACCCAGCCAGTCACAGCCCAGCTGGACTCGGACAGACAGATCTGATGGTACAGGGTCAAAGACCCATGATCACACAGAAACCCAGGCCCTGACCGACACAGGTCAGGCGGTAGACCAGCCAGGGCTCGAGGGAGCCTGACGGAGACCCCATAGACAGGGCCCACTCGGGCAAAGGGGTGGCATCAGGGGACAGGCACTGTGGGATGGAGAGGGAGCCCTGTCTGTCGTGGTCAGCCGGCGGGTGCCCCTTGCCTGGGCCGGATGCTGGATTGGCAGCGGATGACCGAGTAGCGGATGGCGATGACACAGGCCTTCTGCAGCAGGGGGATGATCTCGCCCAGGAGCAGATCCACCCGCAGCACCACCATGGAAAAGTAGTTGGTCTGCAACGTTCCGAGCTTGACGTAGGTGCCGTCTGGCAAGACCTGGTGGACCAGAGAAGGGTGTGCCGGGCCTGAGCCAGGGCTCCCCAGCCTGTCCTACACTCATGACTGTGGGCTTCCATCCCCTCCAGGCACACGGCCCTCAGACCACTCACCGGGAGCAGGTGGCTGACCGCCCGCCAGAGCACACTGGCTCTTAACACACCTGTGCTTTCTGCTGAACAGTCACTTCTCAAGTGCCTGGGTTCACAGCTCCTCTCCGGAGACACCCAGGACCTCCTCCAAATCCATAGCTAGAGGGAATGCCTGGGGACCTCCAGACCTTCCTCCAGCACTCGGCTGGTGTCTGGTCAGTGACTGCTTGTCTAGGCCTCACTGTAGGTGAATATGCATGTCACCCTCAGCCCTTCCCTTCTCTCACATCGCTTTGCCCCCCTACCCTATGACTGCTCTACCATCCCACGAAGCTCTGAGCATTTACCCCTGAGAACTCTGAGGCTCAGAGAGATCAAGTGACTTGCCCAAGGTCACACAGCTCCCAAACTGGGGCTTTACCCAGATCTGTGGGATACCAGAGGCTCTTTGGGGTGGGGGTGGAGTGCCCCAAACTCTGCTCTTTGGGGGAAGACCCAGAGCCAGCAGCAGTCTGCAGGAGGCCACTGCCCCTCTCCAGGCAGCGTAGGCTAGCAAGCCTTCCCAGGACTCCCACCTGTGCAAAGCGACTCAGCATGTTCTCCCTAGGGACCCGCACGTGGTCCAGTCGCAGGAAGCCGTGGTCTGTGTGGTCAAAGCCCATCTTGGGCCCGATGTCTCCAACGGTGACTCCTAGAAGGAGATGGAGATGGGAACGTCTGTGAGCCAAGTGCTTTCGTGTGCCGGGTACCCTCCACCCACGTTCTAGCTCCCCCAAGCCTCACAGCAGCCTGTCACGTGGGATTATTACACCTGTTTTTCAGCTGAGGTCAGACAGGTGCTGAATCTTGCTCAAGTTCACCCAGCCAGTTAGCACCAGGTCTACCCAACTGGACTCATCCCTGCCCAAGGGAGACATGTCCCAGCTTCTCCCATTACCTTGGGGCCTCAGGATAGGGAGGCCTGGTGGGCTCTCTTCCTGGCAGTGGTCCTAGGAGCCACGTGGGCTTACCTGGCAGTGGGGTGTGGTCCTGGAGGCTCCGGATGGGCACAATGAAGGCGTGCATGCCCTGTCGGGCTCCTGAGCAGATCAGCTGGGCCTGGACCAAGGTGTGGGTGGCTGACCGTCCCACTGAAGGCAGAGAGAGGAGAGACCCAGCATGATCTCTGGTGTAGGAGACCCTGGTGTATGGAGCAGGCAGGCTAACTCTCCCTATCAGGAACCTGCATGTGGGTCCAGTCTGAAATGGGTGAGGAGGACCAGCGTGGTGGCACGGGGAAGGGCAGGGCACCCCGTGAAGCCAGGATGGGGATTGTTTGATCTGCCTCAAATGGTCGGGTCAGGGGAGGATGCACAAGGAGCCTGAAGGGTACAGCTATTTCCCAGGGGGTTTACCCAGGGCAGGGAGGGCCAGGCAGAGGAGAGGTAACATCCTGGGCAACAAAGCGATGCTTTTTCAGGATACCCCGTGGCTCACATGGCCTTGACTCATCCTTGGAAATGACTGGAACAGTCTTGAGAGCTTTAGTATGAGTGTCTGGGTTGGAGAGCTTTATGGACAGCCATTTGGTGGCTGGAGGTGCAGGGGTTTCTGTCTAAATGTCACATATGTGGAGCAACCAGCCTATAACACACAGGCAGGGGGTAGGGAGGCTCAAGGAGCCGGCTGGAGATCTGGAGGGGTGCAAAGCCCTCCACACGCTCTAGATGCTCCCCCTTTCAAAGGCAAAGCTGACAAAGGTTATGGATTTTAATGAAAATAGCCTAAATTAAACAATCTGGGAAAGCTTGGCATCTTTAAAAATTTGGTTCTTCTGCAAGTCTTCTGACTGAAGTGTGTGCCCTTGAGTCATTTTCTTTGGAATCAGGGAGACAGGATCTTTATGTCAGAGCTGCTGGGGTATGTATGTTAGGATCCGTGGTGAGAAAACCGGTCCCTGATCACAGGGAAAGGTGTGCATTGCTGCTCCCCAACCCAGGGGCCTCGAAGAGTCACTGATCCCAGAGAGGGGGAACAGCTCCCAAAGAACCAAACAAATCTAGCAGTGTTTTGCAAAAGGCACTGTAAAATGAGCAGGGTTTTTTTTTTTTTTTTTCTGTCCTCAAAAATCTATAAATGAATCACTCTATCGTCCACTTAATAATAATGAATACAGATAATTATCATTTATCTAAATCCAGGTGGTGCTGGACCCTGTGCTGGTGCTTTCCAGTTCTTGTAGGGCGGGTATGATGAGCCCCATTTCCCAGATAAGGAAACTGAGCCTCAGAGAGGAGAATGAGGCCCTCAAGGTCACCGGTCTGGAGGGGGCAGAGCTGGGATTTCAAGTCTGTCTGATTGCCAAGGCTGGTTTCTTTTCTCTGCAGTTCTGACTGCGGTCATCCATTCCCTTCCTCTCCTCTCTCGTTGTCTCTCCTGTCCATCCCTTATTTCTCTGACTTTTGTCTGAATCTTTTTCCCTCTCTGCTTGTCCCTGGCCTCTCTGTTTCTCTCTGCTTAGTTGTACTCCTGACATTCACTGTATTTTCTCCCCCTGTGGAAGCATTCAGCAAATGGGTCCTCAAGTGCCACAGACATGCCCTCACAGGTATGTTGTCACATCCCAGGAATAGGGCCTTGGCATGACCCCCTCTTGGGCAAAGACGGAGCCTGGGGGAAGCACGGTGCGGTCGCCACCTGGTGGCCACAGAAGGCAATGTGGCGCCGGTGGCCAGACCGAGGCTGAGCCTTTCTGGGTGTCTGGAGCAGGGGCGGTGATCGGTGAACTGGGTGATGGATTGGCAAGCTTAATCACTAACTTGGGAGGTGAGAGTGCCTGGGACTAGGCTGTGCGTATGTGATGTGTGTGTGCACGCGTGTATCTGTGTGGGGGCAGGGTGCCTGTGAGCGAGGCCTTGGCCCTCATCACCCACAGGTTGGGTGGTTTCCTCAGCTACTCCAAAGTTGGGGCCTCTCAGCCACTCACGGATGAAATTCTTCCCATCCCCCGCTGTTGACAGAGTGAGACCCTGAACTTCAAGAACCTGCACTGATTTGCTCAAGGTCACCAGCCTAGAACAGGGAATCAGTCTGAGGTCTGGTGGACCTCAGAGCTGGTGCTGTTCTGCTGTCCAACTCTGATCTCTTTGGGGACAGATAGGGCTGGGGGGACGGACGGATACTCACGGTCCCCAGGCCACCATTTGGTGGCCGTCAACGTGGGGCTATGCACCACAAACTCCTGGGTGGCCGCATCATAGGTGGCTTCAGTCTCCAGGCCCCGAAGATTCGTCCCTGGGAATTGAGGGGAGCTTGTGAGGCAAGAGGTCAGGATAGGAATCTCACCTGGGGAGCAGCATCCTGGTGGGCCTGGAGCTGCCAGGCACCAGCCCCGTCTGCAGTCGGGGGAGCTCCCAGCTGTACGCACAGGCGTTTCTTGTCTTTCACCCGTGGGCTGTGTGGGGGACACATGGCCAGCCCGTGACAAGGAATGCTTGCTGACATTTCCAGAAGGAACGCCTTGCCCCACGCATGCTAGTTCACACGGTGTGTTTGTATAAATTAGAAAAAGGAACCCCCTCCTTCGAGACCCTTGACTGCCACCTGCTGGAATGTTTCCATATGAAATACACAATCTCTGACTCCTCGGCTGTGAGTGGGCTTTCTGGAACCGTGCACGCAGAAACCCTGGCTCACCGTGTCCCAATTCTGTCTGGGCATATGATGCAATGATCTGGAATTTATTGCAGAGTGGGGTCCATTTGGCAATCTGCTCCTCTGAGCCCAGGCTCCTGAGGGATTTCAGGAACACGTGGTGTAGATTTAAGGCCAGTTCTCCAGAAAGGGCTCTGGGGGGGAAAGGACACGGTGCTTGAGTAGCCCACCGGAGATGGGGACCCCAGTACCGTCAGTCTGGCAGGGTGCAGGAGGGAAGGGGCATCTGCCATCCTGGCTTCCCAACAGCTATTGCCTTTAAAGGTGGGGAAAATCGCTCATGGCGTTAAGGCTTTCCAAATGATCCCAGGTGAATTCCTCTCTGGTGGGGCTGCCCTGGGAGTGAGTACCTGTAAACGTAATAGAATTCAGGACTGTTTTCCGACCAGCCCAGGCGCTTTGCTGTTATCTGGAGGTGAAATTTCCTCTGAACGGCGGCCACATAACGTTCATTCTGGGTCATGAAATAATTATCCTTGAGGCTAAACTCCGGGTCACTGTGGATGATGCTCTCTTCCAAAGACAGAGAACAGAGAGCTTAGAGACTGGAATGAGGCTCCTGGCACCTTCAGATCTTTTTACCCTCTTGCCTTGTGGACGTGGAAAGGAAGTCAGACATTATTGTCATTTTACAGATGTAATGACTGAGCACCTGAGGTGGGAAGGTGACTTGCTCAAGGTTACAAAGTCATGCAGTGGCAGAATAAGGACCAGCATCTAGGTCTTCTGCTGCCTAAGACTCTTCTATCCTTCAGATGGGCTCAGGAAATACGGACTTGTTAAAGATGTCCTTACGGTCCAAAGGAATGAATCTCTAACAGTGGAATTTTGAAAGCAAGATTTGTCATTTGAGGTGGGACTGCTAGTGAAAGACTCTTCTTCCAAGAAAGGCATGTGGGCACAAAGCAGAGGCTCCATTCCCCAGCTTCCTCTTACCAACTTTCCTCCGGAGTGCAGTGTTCTGGGCACCTCCATCCAGGATGTTGATGAGCCTTTCCACATTGAAGGACTGTATGTACCTCTCACTCTCTATGTTGGGGTGCACTTGCCTGCTCCAGGTATCCCCCAGGGACACTCGGTGCACTGGGCTGCCCATCCTAGCCTGGAGCTGCCTGCTGCCGGAGGAGAGGTACTTCTGGCCTAGCTGCTCGGAGCCTTGGGTGGTGCTAAGAACCTGTGTGCAGGAGGAAGTGCCCAGAGCTGAGCATCCTCCAGGGGCTGCTGCGGGTAGGAAAGCAGCTCCCCTGAAAGATTTGTGTGCCTCTGCACCCCCACCCCCTTCTCTGCGGGCACTCGGCTGGCCACAAATGCAGGAATTGCTCGGTAAATGGTAGCGCAGTACCTGTTTGTCGAGATTTGGATGGGATCCAATCACAGGGCTCGAGCTCTGTCCACTGCAACCTGTCTTACAAGGGTTACCTGGGGAAATTCTCACAAAGTCAATTCAAGTCACACATGCAAAAATATCTGGTGACCTTGAGCATGTCTGGCCTCTAGCCACACAGCTGGAGGCGGCCAGGAGGTGGACAGGGTCTGACCACAGAGCACATGCTCTCTCATGTTACGGCCCTGCCAGGGGGCCTCACTGTAGGGACCTGTGGTCCCATTCACCTGGTCCCCTGAGTCCTGGGCTCATTCAGCCCATTTCTGTGAGCCTTGAGGGGTACCGCAGAGCTGGGGGGAGGAAGCTTGCTTCTGGCCTGGGCAGTGTTCCCCCTGGGACCCCTGTGTGCCCCCCTGCAGCCAGAGTGGACCCGTGTCCTTCAGCAAACCCTCAGACTCTCAGAAGCTCCTGTTCCCCCACAGCAAGGCAACTACCAGGTTGCCTCGTCTATTTGTTGAGTATCTCAAATCCATTTGTTCCATCCCCATGTCTGTTCCCAGGCCACCACCATCTCTCACTGGGCCTCAGTGTCTCACTTGTCTGTTCTCCTGGCTGCCAGGCCGAGCCCTTCAACTGCAGTCACAGTGTGTCCCCACCCCGGCTTGGAATTTGCCCCTTGGCGCCCACTGTTTGTGGGAGAGAGTCCATGCTTCCCGCCATCCACCGCCTCCTGCCCACCTGCCCCTTGCCCTGGATCAGCTACTCCAGCACCAGGTTGGGGCCTCCCCTCCCTCTCCTCCTCCCTTTTGCCTCTGCGGCTTTCCCCCCGCGTTCCTAGTGAGACCCAGCCTCCAGGGACACCTCCTCCAAGGAGACTTCCTGACGGCAGCACCCCCCACCCCAGGAACAGAGTGCCCTTTTTGCTGCCCCACTGGGTGCTGTTAGAGTAGACAATAGGAGCAATGCCTTATTTGCTCGAACGTGCCCCTCCCAAGTGCCTGGGTGGCCAGCGCCACTGTCCCTTGGATCCCACGCATCTAGCTGTCAGGAGGCACCTGGTCTGTCTTTCCCGCCGGCAGCCACCGCGGCCCTACAGATATCTACTCTTACTATCCGTTTTACGGGGAGCCCAGGAACGGAAGGAAGGAGACTCTGTAAGGTCGTGTAGCTGCACGCGGCGAGTGGGGTTTCTATGCAGGCTTGCAAACCGATACCCCCTGAGTGGGTGGCAGGGCCATGGGGGTGCTGACAAGGGGCCTGGCACGTTTAAGGAGCCCCTCTTGTCTGCCCCCTGGACCCCTGCAAGGCCACCTAGCTGGCCTCCTGTCTTCCTGCCCCACTCCCCCCGACTGCTGCTGCCTGTTTGCTGTGCCTGGACGTGCCAGGCCTCCCCCGCCCCCCACCTCTGCCAGGTTGTATCCTCTGACTCAAACTCTTCTTCTGGAACACTCTTTCCCCGGGTGTCCTCTTGGCTCCCTTATTACCTCCTTCAAGTCTTTGCTGCTCAGTATCACCTTCTCAGTGAGGCCCACCTGACTGCCCTCTTTAAAACCCCAAGCGCCCCTCCCTTGGCCTTCCCAATCCCCCTCACTCTGCTCTACTTTTTGTCCTAACGTACAAGATAATTTACTCACTTACGTTCTTGTTTATTGATGTCTCCCCAACTACAGGGTAAACTCCAAGGGCGCAGGGGCCTTTGTCAAGTTATGCTAACACTTAGCACAGGGCCTAGCCCACGGGCAGGGTCTGGTAAATAGGGGTTGAAATGACATGCAATGAAAGAAAGCAGTGCTCAGAGTCATTAGGAGCACGGGGAGGGTCAGGCCTGAGGTGGTGCGGTCCTCAGCGGCCTCCCACTCCCTCCCCTGTCCCCGGGCCCAGCTCACCTGTCCCACTGGTGTGGTGTCTGCCTGTAGGCCTCTGGGGCTGCGCACTAGGTTTCTTGTGGGTGGCCCAGCCCATTTCTCCTCCCCTCGAATGGGCTGGAACAACATGGAAAATTGAAGGCAGTGCCTGGCAAGCTCTCAGCTCTCAGGTGCCCCTGGCTGAGCTCCCTGCTTTTCTCTCGTGTGCCCCTTCTCCCTCAGGTGGGTGTGACCTGCTGGGCCAGTGCCCAGGCCTTCCCGGGGTTGGGGGTGGGGTTGGGGGGGTACTGCTTTGGGAGTGTCAACTGCTGAGACTCGTCTGGCTCTTCCTCTCTCCGCCTGTCTGGGCCTGACCCAGGTCCCCAGAACATGCTTACCCGGTTCCCTGAGCACGAGCAAACACCACAGCCCCCACCTGGTGTCCAGAGGCCCGGGGCTCAGAACTTCCAGATGTGACTCAGAGTTACTTTGCCTCTCTGAGCTTCCCTTCTCTTGTCTGTAATTTCACGGGCTATAGAGGAAAGCTCTCGGTAAACTGTGAAGCACCTGGTATTTGTAACGAGATTATGACTGTTTTCTGAGTGCCCCATGACAGAGTTTCGTAATTCCCCAGAGGGACATTTAATGGTGGCATTTCGGATTCTCATTGGCAGTCTGCTGGGGAGGTATTTATGGGCAGGTGTGTGAGGGTTTAGGTTGTATGGGAAGCATTGATTTGCTTTGTTATCAATCCATATTGTTAAGCAGGAAGCAAAAAACAAAAGAAAAACCTCTGACCCTGGGAAGCATCCAGGCTGGGGTTGGGGGCTTCTGGGGAGACAATCATCACAGGAGGAATGAGCAGGAAAACCTGGATGGGATACTCACAATCACTTCTAATGAATTTATAACTTTTTGGAACTTAAAACTTCCTTGCCCTCTCTTCCTGCCCCCGCTGTTCCCAGGCCTCCCAGGCCCTACCTGTCCAGATCCTTTTTATCTTTTCATCTCACCACACTGTTTTGGGAATTCATTGCAGTCTGGATCAGAAGCTCCAGGACCTGCTTTCTTGGCTCCAAGTTTTGGTCCCTTGTGGTATATTACAAAACTCATCTATTTGGTCTTTGTCCCCAGTTCCTGGCCCAGGACCCCTAAGAACCTTTGCAAGCTCCTAAGAGGTAAGACTATATCCTTTTTTATCTATGGCCAGGAGCCCGTAGATAGCTTCAGGATGGGGACTGCTTGCTGGAAAGATCAAGCCTTAATTAGAGCAGTTGGAAATCTCAGTTCTCCCCGGTATGCCCTCGCCACCCAACCTCCAGGGAGGGGAGAGGGGCTGCAGTTTGAGCTAATTACCAGTGGCCAGTGATTTAATCAATTATGCCTATGTAGTGAAACCTTGGGAAAATCCCTCAACAACGGGGTTTAGGGAGAGTTGGCAAACAGGGAGGTGCTGGTGGGAGGGCAGCATGGGAAGCTCCATGTTGCCTCTAGTCCCTCCCCCAACCCAAGACCTTGTCCTCTGCATCCCTTCCAATTGGCTGTTCCCAAGTTGTATCCTTTATAGTTAACCGATAAACGTAAGTAAAGTGCTTTCCTGAGTTCTGTGAGTCATTCTAGCCTATTACTGAACCCAGGGTGGGGGTTGTGGGAACCCCTGAATTTATAGCCGGTATGTCGGAGGTAGAGGTGGCCCCTGGGTTGTGCAGCTGTGGTCTGAGGTGGGGGCAGTTCTCGTGGGACTGATCCTTAAGCCTGTGGGATCTACACTAACCCCAAGAGCTGGTGTCAGAATTGAACTGAATTGTTGAACACCCAATTGGTGTTGGGGAATTGGTGGTTGGTGTGGAAAAACCACACATTGATTGTGTTAGAATAAGACACCACACCCTTGGCACACTCACTATAGTGGTGGGTATTTTTTCTTTAACTCTTGGTTTTTGTGTAAATCACCAATGAAAGTAAGGACTGTGTCGCTCTTGGTCACCAATACAGTCCCATTCCCAAACTAGGGTCAGGCCCAGGGTAGGTGCTCAACAAATATTTGGTGGATGAGTGAATAAACACGGGCTGACAGTGAAGACTTTGGAGCTTTGGCATTGTTTTAAAAGGTGGGAGTGGGTGTGTTTGTGTGTCCTCTCTGTTTGCACACACTTGTATACCTCGACATGAGACCCAGACCTTCAGTCTCAAAGCTGGGGATTCCTTTGGGCCTACTTGTACCAAAAAGCTGTGTACCCAGCTGGGTTTCCAAAGTGATCCTGGTCTTTCTGCAGCCTTTCCTGATCTGAGCTTAAAAGGCTCCCCACAGGTGGTCCTTCTATGAAAGGGTTGCTCTGCAAGGTGAATGATTTTTCTCTTTCCCTATGTTTCTGTGCTAAAATTTGGCTTGTCTTGGGGCACCCAGGTGGCTCAGTCGGTTAAACGTCTGCCTTTGGCTCAGCTCATGATCCCAGAGTCCTGCGATCGAGCCCCGCGTCGGGCTCCCTGCTCAGTGGGGAGTCTGCTTCTCCCTTTGTCTCTCTCTAAAATAAGTAAGTAAATAAATAAATACAATCTTGAAATAAAATAAAATTTGGCTTGTCTTAGGCTTAGCATTAGTACCCGTATGCCTCTAACCATCATTCCCAGAGTGAATATTTTAGAGCACCCGTAGGGCATTGGGCCCTGCTCGGGGTGGGACCCAGCGTGGAACCAGGTCTCTGTGAGTGGGGGGCAGGGATGTTTATAGGTCCCCTCACCTCCCCTGCATAACAACACCGGAAAGTAGGATGCCCCTCCTCATTTTGCAGAAGAGGAAACAAGCCCAGAGAGGTGTTCACACAATACGTATGATGCAAAGCTGGAATTTGAACCTGGTTTTCTTGCTCTTTCCCCATGTGTACAATGTTGGGAAAGAAGTCAAGAGAGCCAGAGCACTTGTTTTGGCAGGACTTCTGAGATGTGGTGACTCTGGGCAGGTGCCCCCTTCCCCTAGGTCTTGGTCTCCCCATCTGTGATGATGGGTATCTGCTCACTAAGGCGCCTCACACCTCCCCCCCATGTCCCCATGGTAGCATCATGCCTTAAATCTCTTTAAAAAATTAAAAAAAATTTAATTATTTAAGTAATCTCTGCACCCAACGTGGGGCTCGAACTCATGACCCCGAGATCAAGAGTCACATGCTCTTCTGACTAAGCCAGCCAGGCACCCTGCCAGATATTTTATGTTCGTTAACACTGTCCTCAGGGCGCCTGAGTGGCTCAGTTGTTGGGCGTCTGCCTTCGGCTCGGGTCATGATCCCAGCGTCCTGGGATTGAGCCCCGCATCGGGCTCCCTGTTCGGCGGGAAGCCTGCTTCTCCCTCCTCCACTCCCCCTGCTTGTGTTCCCTCTCTCTCTCTGTCAAATAAATAAGTAAAATCTTTAAAAAAAAATAAAACAACAACAACAAAAAACACTGTCCTCTCAGCTACCCATGAGGCTGGCACTATTGGAACCCTCAGTTAACAGACGAGAAACTCAGAGATGTTAAATAATTTGTCGGAGGATACCTACCTGGCAAGTGGCAGAGCTGGACCCCCGCCACCCCGCCTCCCAATCTGAAGTCTGACTTTGTAGCCTGGACTCCTCATAGTCATGCTGGGCCACCTGTCAGGATCTCCTTAAAAGGGAGAGTGGGGGAGAGAGAGAGAGAGAGAGAGAGAGAGAGAGAAAGAAGGAAATTCCATCCTTTGAAATGAGCTAGGCCCCAGGGCCAGGCATTTTGTGTCTGGTTTCTCACATGGTAGGACCTGACAGGTATACAGTAGATGCTCAATGCGTATTTCTCTCCTTCTTGCTCCTTCCCGGAATGTCTTGGGCCAAGGGCAGGCATGTGAACCCTGGTATCCCACTGGCCACTGTCTTTTCTTAAAGTGGTGAGTGAGATGGGCCTCGATTCTTGTCCCTGGGGCCCAGTCTGGCAGATTGGTGAGGGCTGGGCCACCTGCTGTCGGGGAAGAAGGAAGGAGGAAGGCCACAGGGCCTCTGCAAGCTTGCAGGATGTTTCTGGCGACAGATGGGAAAACTCCGAATGTGGGTGCTTTGCAAAACAATCCCTGCAGCCTCCACCAGCAAATGCTGCGAGGACAAATGTGCTGGCTCCAGTCAGGCAGACGTGGGTTTGCATCTCGCTCCCACCACCTGCTGATTGTGTGCCTTCGGGAAGTGGCTTGGCCTCTCTAAACTTTGGATTCTTCACCCATAAAATGGAGGTAATGCCAGTCCTGGGGGATTCAATGAGAGAATTCATGGGAAGTATGAATAGCCCAGTCCCCGGAGCAGATGCCAAATATTAAAGTATAGATACCATTACCTGGTCACAGATGTGGAAAATGTGGTCCAGCAAGTTTTCCAGGCTTCTGACAAGTAGTTATTGTCGGGGCGCCTGGGTGGCTCAGTCATTAAGCGTCTGCCTTTGGCTCAGGTCATGATCCCAGGGTCCTGGGATCGAGCCCCGCGTCGGGCTCCCTGCTCAGTGGGCAGCCTGCTTCTCCCTCACCCTCTCCCCCTGCCTGTGTTCCCTCTCTTGCTGTGTCTCTCTCTGTTGGATAAATAAATAAAATCTTAAAAAAAAACACAAAACAAGTAGTGATTGTCAGAGCTGGGGCTTGAATACAGGTCTGGGCACAGGATTAACTATCTTTATGGGGTAAGCCTAAAGTAAGCCTTGCAGTGGGGGATGCACATCTTAAGTCAGGCTCCCAAAGGGGTGAGCTTAAGTGTCCTGGTCCCATGTGAAGCCCCTCCCTAGGAAGGGGGAGCTCCAGCTCACTTAGCTATTGCTAGGCAGCCCAGAGGAGTTGTTAGGGTCCTTCACTGGGAAATCCTGCTCATCTCTCTAGGAGTCCTTTCTGAGAAGTAGATGGGCACTCAGTGTCCTCTCTAGGTGAGCGCCTGCCCATCATCAACTCAGATAATCGTCTGGTGGCTGAGATGAGGGCAAGTGGCCATGGGGAGGTATGGATTCTGTTCTTGTGAGGCCCAGCAAAAAGGGCATTTATGAGGCAGGGCCCTGGTGGGAGCCGGGTGGCTGGGGGTTGACAGGTCTGGAGGTGGGGGCAGTAAAACACCAGATGGTTTAGGTTACTGCTCGGCTAAAGGTCCAGTCCTGCAAGGGGCAGGAATCCCACTTTGATGGCTAGTTTGGGGGGGCAGGTGCATAACGTTCCTCACCCCAGAACTCCCATCAGGCTGTATTGGCTGGAGTCTATTTTTATGGGTGGAGGCCAGATCCCTCAAGTTCAGACAGACAATGAGAAGGTTAAATAGGTCATCTAATCTCATGACAAAGGGTCAGAATGGCACAGGGCCCTCCTGAGCCCTTCCTAGGAGCAAGGACTCGCTGTCGTGGAGAAAATGTGCGCTTTGCAGACGGACGGCTCTGTGGGAATCTCGTCCTTCCCCAAGCATTGTTTTGTGACTTCAGGCAAGTCTTTTAATTTACCTAAACATTGGTTAGTCTGCAAAATAGTGAGAATGACATCGAGTTATCATGGGTGGTGATGCTGGTGGACTTCCATAAAAGCAATGATCATAACTGACACCCACTCACAACTTTTGGAACACCTGGGTTGGCCTTGGCAAAGGGAAGCAGAATCAGCCGGGGTCCCTGCCCTCACGGAGCTTGGCATTTGTACCATCCCTAGTGGGATGAGGCTGCCCCACAAAAGCTCCTGGGTTCTGAGGGCTCCCCTGGGCTACATATGCAGAATCAGGGAGGGAGGGTCCCTTCGCCTCATGAGGTCTTCTGTCTGTCTCCCAGGTGCGTATTTAGGGCCCATCTGCCATTGAAGAGGGTTCTCCCCAAATCCAGACTAGGACTTGTGGTCTGGCAGGTGTGAGGGGCAGGGGGGGCTCAGTGAGAATGGGCTTGCTGCTCTTGGTTCCCCATGTAGGGCAGAGTCTGATGTCAGGGCTCCTTTCATTCTGCAGGGTCCCCAGGACTCGGTGATGACCCGACCTCTGCCCTCAGGGATGTTCTAACTCCCTGGATGCGCACAGGGTGACACTGAGGAGCCACACAGTTTCAATGTTGGTCTTGTAGGCACAAATGCCGGTCTGGTCGGGCCCAGGTGTACTGACAATAGCCCAAGAGGCCGGAGGAAAGCTTCTGGACCAGACTGATATCTCTGGGCCCCAGGGGAAATTGTGGAGGAAGGAGGTAGGTAGGCGATGGTGGTGGGAGGGGCCGAACCTTGGGGGAGATTGGGGGTGCTGCAGCCGGAGAAGGGCTTTCTCACTTATTCGTTCATTCAACAAACATGAATTGAGCACCTGCTCTGTGCCTGGAGTCCCATGCACTATCTGGCCACTGCCTTTTCTCAAAGCTGGATTCTTGTGCCTGGGTCCCAGTCTGCCAGAGGTTCGCCCAGGCCAGGCCACCTGCTGGCAGGGAAGGAGCAGGGAGGACGGCCACTTGGGATTCAGCAGGAAACGAGACAGACAGACATCTCTGCCCTCATGGAGCGGACATTATCGCTAAGGGAGACACACAAGGTAGACAAGTAAGATACGTGTTTGATGGTGGCAAATGGTGAGACAGAGAAGCAAGGGATAGGAAATGTGTAGGAGATGCTGGGATTCAGATGGGTTGACCACGGAGGGCCTCATTTAGAAAGAGCATAGGAAAAACACCTGGAGAATGTGGGGGGAGAGGCCTGTATGCTTCTCTGAGGGAAGAAGATGAAAAGGCACCTTGTGGGACGTGGGGCGTGAGGAGGCCAGGCCAGCGGCCAGAGCTGTGTGAGTGAGGAGGTGGGCAGGAGGCAGAAGGCCAGAGATGAAGAGGGAGCGGGACAGGCGGGGCCCTCGGGGTGGTGGGAAGGCCGCTATGGGGAGGGGGGGGCAAGGGAGGGCTCTGGGCAGAGGAGTGGCAAGACCTGCCTTCGATGTTCACAGGCTCATTTTGGCGGCTCTCTTGAGAATAGGCTGTAGGGGGCAGGGCAGAAGCAGGGAGACCACGGAGGAGGCGGCCTCGGCAATCATCAAGACGTTTTGTTTCCCACTGTGCCGTCAGCACACGGCATGCTTCCTGGCACGGAGCAGGCCCTCAGCACATCCGTACTGAATGATGTGTGAATTAAGGATGCCCAAACACCAGTTCTCAGACTGGTGCGTGGGCTATGTGGAGAAGATGCAGAAAAACAGATCTTAGGCATTGCTGCCGGGGATCCGAATCCAAATGGTTTCTTTCTTTCTTCCTTCCCCCCCCTTTTTTTTTAACTAACTAATTAATTATTTTTAAGATTTATTTATTTATTTGCGAGAGGGAGTGTGTGTGAGTGCGAGTGTGCAAGGGGTAGGGGAGGGGCAGAGGGAGAGAGAATCCTCAAGCAGACTCCCCACTGAGTGTAGAGCTCAATGTGGGGCTCGATCCCATGACCCTGAGATCATGACCTGAGCTGAAGTCAAAAGTCAGATGATGCTTAACCGACTGAGCCACCAGGGTGCCCCTCCAATTGGTTTCTAATGGGAAAGAGGAATCTGGATGTTCAGTACAGTCTGCTGGTAATTCTAGGCATTGGGGCTGGCCTTCTGTGTCAGGAATACTCTGGCTGCAAGTAACAGAGACTGACCAACAGTGGCTTAAACAAAGAGGGTTTTCTTTTTATTTACAAGAATTCTGGATGATGGCTACTGGCATTGGGCTTGGTCAAATGATGACAGGGACAGTGCTCTGAGATTCTCTTGGCCTTTTCCTCATGTTAGCAAGATAATTGTTGTGGCTCCAGGCATCACATCCTCCATCAAGGCAGGAAGAATGGAGGGGCAGGGAGGTGTTACCCACATCTGCCTCTTTCATCAGAAAAGCATAAACTTTCCCAGAAGCCCCTGTAGACTTCCTCTTAAATTTCACTGGCCATACCTGGTCACATTCCCCCCCACCAAGCTGCAAAGGAGGCTGGAACCGTGGGAATTGGGATTTACAGCCTCCACAGTGGGAGGCAGCTAGAGAGAAGGGGAGTGCACGCGGGTGGCTGCCACAGCTCCACCGGACGATGTGGAGTGTCATCTCCATGGCTTGCCGCCTCCATGGAGCAGCTCTGGGGACCACTGAGTGCAATCTCAGCCATCCTCTCTGAGGGGCCTCCTCCATCCTGGATGCTCTGTCTTGCTTCTTTTTGTACGTCGGAACAACATGTAGACTGAGGGGGGAGACTTCTTTGGGGGAAATGGTGGTCTTTATTTGGGGACTGGGCTTTAGGATTGCGCTCACCTGGCAGACATCTAAAATAGCATTACCACATTCTCACCAAGACACGTTCAAGAGCCTTTTAGAGCCTGATTTACACACATACACGCGCATGCTTGTGCACACACACATGCGCACACGCAGACAGTATGTCTATTTACACTGGCAGGCACCCCACCCCGGAAAAGGGCACGTCTTTGGTCATCCTCAAACCACTTAGTTAGGAGTTAAGACCAGGATGACCCCTCTCCTCCTGAACATCCCACTTTTAGTCCAAGAATAAAATAGCATCCCAGCAGTAGCTTTTTCTGGCAGTTTTGGTGGGGGTGGGGGGGCAGTGTAAGGAGATGCTTTTCTAGAACTTCCCTATCACCTTAAATGATGGGTTTGCAAAACCAGAGGCAGGGATTTTATTCTTCACGGGGTGGGGGCAGGGAGAAGAAACCAGCCTGGTTTATTCTCTAAATCTTTAACAATGGGCTAGAGGCAAAAGGTTGAAACATGTAGTCGCATGTGGGGAGGGATTTTTGAGGAAGAATGAGTGAATTCACTGGAGCTGGCTCAGGTGGTGGAAACCAAGCAGGGAGTGGGTGCAGGGGCTGGAAATGGGGACTCAAAGGAGCCTGTCTATCAGGGTAGCGGTGGGGTCTTCAGACCACTGTTAGTATTTCCAGAAGCCCACCGGAAATCACTGTATATTTGTTCTCCATAGGTTTCAGGAGAAGGTAAAATATATATATATATTTTTGGCCAGAAGTGCATCAGAACGGTGGGGTAAGAAAATGCAGGTTGGCAACGATATACCTCTCCAGTGACAATGGCAATTACATAACCGACATAATTTGCTGGGCAAATGTCTTCCCAGGCCTGGGGGCCCTGGAATGGGGTGGATAATGGAGAGCCCTTGGGGCCGCAGAGGCAGGGTGGGGAACCCCCAGGGCAGAGGTTCATGGCAGTTGGGGGGCAGAGGCGGCTTCGGGGATGATGTTTCCAGTATTTACTGTCCCTGGCTGCTTACAGTGTGGTCCTCAGACCAGCAGCCCAGGAGCTGGTTAGAAATGCAGAATCTCAGCCCCCACCCCAGATCTACTGAATCAGAAGTGGTCCTCTAACAAGATCCCCAGTGATTCGTAGGCACAATCAAGTTTGAGAAGCACTGTTCTGGACTTCTGGGAGCAGGAAGGCCACGGTCCTCATTAGATGTGGTTGCCAGGCCCAGACAGGGAGGCTGTGGAGAGGAGCAAGCAAAAGCGTGGGTGTGGGGGAAGCGGGCAAACTCCAAGAAGCTGTCCTTGTTAGTACTCTTGCAGCCTGGCAGGATGTGAGCCCTGAGGCTGCCTCGTGAGCTGCCCCGCCCTTCCTCCCGAGCGGCACTTGAACCACAATCCCCTCTGCTGGCTTTCAGAGCAGGTGTTCAGAGATGCTCTGCTTAGCTGCCCCACACTTGGCCGCCGGGAAAACCACAGTCGGGGAAGTTTTCTGAGAGCAGGGAGCTGGGCCCCGTGGGGCCTGGGCAAAAGGGAGGGCTGGTCAGGCCAAAGAGGGGCCTTTCTCGCCTTCCCAATTCTGCCAGAAAAATCTCAGCAGAGCTCAGAAGCTCCTTCAGGGAGAGGTACCTTGGGAACGTTTTCTCGGCAGCAGCTTCGGTGAGTGCTCAGAGGGAAAAGCCTGGGAGCTTAGGGGCCTCCCAGCTTCTTGGTGGGTGGGAAAGAGGGCCCAGGCCCTCTGGGACATTTTCACAAGAGCAAGCATGAATATCACAGATGTCCCCAGGCTGGGGGCCCAGGGCTGCCAGATGCAGAAGGGCTGGAGGAGGGCATGGGGGCCAGGGGTGGGCTGCTCAGGCTGGGGCTTCAACGACCCTGCTCTACAGTGCTCTCTCTTCACTGGTTAGCGTGGCGATTCTCCGCAGGTTTTCCCTGACTTTGATAAATTCGGGGGCATGGTCCTCTTCCTTTTCTGGTGGTTTTTCCAGCTAATGGAGAGAAGAAGCAGAGGTGTAAAGTGGGTTGGGGGGTGGAATTCCTATTCCCCAAACCACAGTATTTGCACCAGGGATCCTCCCTGGGGAAACAGAACTGGGGATCAGCTTTGCCACCAGCCTGGTAGCTGGGGTGACAGAGCATGAGACTAAGTTTTCCCTGTGAAGCCTGGTGCAAATCGCTAGCTTCGGCTGGGCCTCAGGTTCCTCGTCTCTAAAATGGGAAAGCCACCTGGCTCGTGGGGTGGTAGTGAGAATGAAATCAGGATCAGCATGCGATAGATTGGGCTGATAAGGGAACTGAGGCTCAGAGAGGGGAGGCCACTGGCTCAAAGTCACACAGCAGAGGGAGTGGCAGTGTGAGGACTTGGGCCGGTGGTGGACTGCTGGTTGAGTCCTCGTTTTGCGTCATCTCCTCCCTCTTGCCAGCCGCGGCCACACGCAGGCTCCTGCCCCGGGGCCGGGAGACAGTCCCGGAGGAGGCTGGGGCCAGGGCTGGGCACTCCCACCCACCTGGTTCAGCCTCTGCTGCCGTCTCAGCAACTCCTGCTCAAAGGGGCACTGCAGCCGCTTGGCCTCTAGCTCTTCCTTCTTCTTCTTGATGAGCTGGTTCCGCCTGCGGTGCTCCAGGACACGCTGCAGCTCCGGCTTGCTGTCCACGCCCAGGCCCCTGGGTGGGGGGAGCCGTCAGGAGACCCCAACTTCCCCCCACCCCAGCCTCAGGGCCGCACCCTGTAGTGACACCAACCTATGCCCTTGTGTTGTACAGCCCCCTGGCAGCCCCGGGAAGGGGTCCCATTCCTGACCCCTTATATGGAGGCTCCTAGGACTTAAGACACCAGCCCAAGTCACAGCTGCGAAGGGGCTGAGTGAGGAGGCTTTGTACTCAGGCTGTCTGATGGCAGAGACCAGATTTTATGTCATTTCTGGTTATGTGCCCAGGATAAGTTTCTAGAGGTGGGATTGCTGGGTCAGGCTCTTTTAAAAGATTTTGGATACATATTTCCATCTGCCCCTTAGGAAAGGTTCTCCAACTTATACTCTGTATCAGTGTACAAGAGCATCTATTTCTCCCCGCCATCACCATCCAGTCTTTTTATATTTGAGAATCTGGTAGGCAAGAAATAAGATCTGGTTTTCATGTGTGTGTTCTCTTAGTTACGTGGAACAACAGCCTTTGAGATGTGCACCAGTCATTTGCATTTCTTCTTTTATGAACTGACTATACCTATCTTTGTTCATTTTTTGTTCCATATGGATTTTTAAGTGATATGTACATATTTTTTGTGGGTTTTATATTGCAAATGTTTCCCTGATTTGTCTTTAGGCTTTTGTCTTTTCTACGGTGGTGATGTCTTTTGACATTAAAAGGGATGACACTAAAAAACGTTTGGAGAAAATGCACATGATATACTAAGCAAGAAAAAAAGAGCCCACGGAAGATAGAAAATGACACCTGCTGGAAGGTCTTGCACAAAGCTGAAAATTGAAGGAGTCCTAGCCCCCGCCAATACCAGAACATGCCAGTAGAGGGAGCTTCAGGGGCGCCGCTGCCTTCCTCCTGGTGCTAGCCAGCTGGGCGGTATTTCCCAGGCCTCCTCCCCATTCCCTACATTACTGAGTCCCAGACCTGCCACCTCAAGCCTGACTCTTTCATTGCACCCTGGTCTCCCTGGTCCACTCATCCTCCACCCTCTCCCCGTGATTGTAACACCCCTGCTTGAGACCCTTTCCTGGTCAACACATCTCCTCTGGCCAACCTCAAAGTCAATGCTGCAAACACCCTGAGCTACTTGTGTTTCCTGTCTCTTTGCACATGCTCTTCCCTTTGCTGGGAACATACTTGCTTCCACCAGCTGATGCCCACCCCTAGTCTGGCTGACTCCTGCCCACCCTTCAGGCTTCAGCTGAGGCATCCTCTCCTCCGTGAGGTCACCTTGGACCACTCCCAGGTGCGTCCTCTGAGCTCCCAGGCCCATTTATACCCTCATTATAGCATGTGATTATGCATCCATCCCCACTGTGAGGGCAGGAACTGGGTCCCATTCCTTCTTGTACCCCAGGTCTGGACACAGTGCCTGGCACATAGTAGGTGCTCAGTAAATGTATGTGGAGGGCAGGCATGAGTGGGTAGCTGGGAGGGAGAGCAGGGCTCTTGGGGACCACCAGTGACTAGACCTTCACAGTTTGTGTGGGTGACTATGTGGGGTACCCTCAGCCCTCCTCAGCCTCCGGGAGACCCAGCATGACCATGGGGGCCTTCTACAAGGAACACCTC